CAGTCCTTTATGTAGTTTTTTCTCCTTTTTTATGTGTAAACCACTGTGTTAGTTTTTGACTCTAACAGCGTGTGGATCTGGCTGGACAGGTAACACACACCTGAACCAACTGTCACTATTATTGACAATATAATGTTTTGGTTATATCAGAGGGGCTTTCCACATATGGGGATCAAAAATGTTGGCCACAGCAGCAAGTTGAATATCTGATATCGGTATGAGAAAAAAAAAAAAAATCCATATTAGACCATCCCATAATGCCCTATATCTACATTCTGTATTATGCATCATTTACTCTGTATATTGTCCTGCATTTTACTACTGCACGTGCTGAGGCTGGGCTTATTTTAACTATTTTATATTTCAGTCTCTCTATATTGCCCATATGTCTGTGGTGTTGTTAAACCTATAGCTTTACGTCAGCATCAACTTTTTATTGTGTCATATACTTAAGACAGGAGAGAAAGCTTATTTAAGTTTCAAACAGACAGTTAACTCACATCGGTTTTATTCCTGGTCTGAAGCATATAATTACGTGAGTCCTTGAAAGTTTAAGTTAAAGTTTAAGTGTTGAGATTCTAAAATTTCGGACATGATTTTGATAATAAGTAAAAAGCTTGATTGACTGAAAATTAATGAAAACTCTGTTAATGAATACCATTTCCGTTACTGGGCTGCTACAACCAAACACTTTTACATTTTACATAGTTTTATTGTTGCATAAAGTGAGAATAAAGTACACAGTTGTTGTACTAATGCCACTATAACTACTTCAAAGTAAAGGTGCACTATCTAACTTCTCTGCCACCTGCTTGTTTCCACAGAAATGTTATTTCTTTGCCTGAAATGTTCCACAGTATTACATTAAACTTGAACTGGAGCTGTTTTTGTTGCTAATAAAATAAATAAATGCTTTCTAACTGTGAGCAGGCTTGCCTCTGCACTGACCTGAAACGTGGCCTAGTGGAATCTCCTGCTTGTTTCTAGGGAGATTGGATAAGTTTAATGACATTCTTTGGTGAATTCTAGGTGAAGCATTAAAAGCAACAACATCTCCACGTAGCCAAGCTTGTGGCAAATCATCCACCAGAAAAGTTACACATTGCACCTTTAAAGGGCCCATATTATAGCCCGATTCACCTCGTAGCATTAGGTTTCGTTCACTCGGTGTTAGGCGGGTACTTTTTTTATTTAACCAATCGCTGCGATGTGGTCGTGACATATGTAATGCACTGGAACGCTCAATGGTATCCAAGTAATTGCTGGCACAACAGCAAACAAAGCAGAGAGTGAAAATCCTTGATCTTGGGAATCATTGCCAACACAGAATGTATGGCGTCATCTACATCCATCTCGACGCTTTGTTTACTGTTGTGCTGTACCACAAAAGGGACCCAGACAGGCGCTTGAGTTTGACGTCATGGCTTCACAGCTCTTCACTGAATGGCCAGTGCGCGGTCTATTCTGATTCCTGACCTAGTTGCTAGAGAGAGAAATAAAGTTGAGCGGAGACACTAGGTGGCACCAGCCTGGCTACCCATATGACACTATTTTCTGATGTACATTATGTTGTTTCTTCATCAAAAACATACCCAGAGTTGTGTGTGTGTTTTTGGTTTTTTTTCCCCATTCACACACACACATAACATACAAAGTAAGCATATTTATGGAATTCTTCTCTGAAACAGAAAAGACTCTGTTCCACCTTGTGATGTCATGTGGTAATACATTCATATAAGTTTTTCTTCTTCCCCCAATGTGCTTTTCTGTTGTTTACAATGTATATGTAATAGACATGATTTTTGTTTCTCTCTTGGCACAAACTCAAAATAAAAATGAATGAATCAATCAATCAGTCAATATAGGACACACTTCACTGTGTTTTGAAACTCCATACACCTTCACTAGAATCATTTGGACCAATTTCTACTGAACAAATGGTAAAGGTAGCTGTTAACATGAAAACTACAGCTTCACAAGGTGGGCCAGAGCATTTTCTGCTTTGCAGATGTAAACAGACTAATAAAGGATTACTCAAACATGCATAAACGAAACAAAACACAACTCTGGGTATGTTTTTGATGACAAAGAGGCAACAACATTCTAACATGGCTTAAAAGTAAGTAAGTAAGTAAAAGTAAGAGTCAATTTTGCGTAATATTTTTTTAATTAATTTATTTAATAGGGACAATGCATATTAATGAACATCTACAACATTGCAGTGTAAATATGCCAGATTATAGCAAGACTGCTAATTTCCATAGCAAGACTGCTAATTTCCATAATATAGGACCTTTAAATAGTAATACAAACTTTCCATCTTATGCCTACGCCAGCGCCGTATTGAAAGTGGACACAGAAACTTTACCATTTCCCATAAACTTCTCTCTGACTCAAAAGCACTGACGTCATGGCTCTGCTCTTCTCATTTTGAGTGAATCACCTCCAAAAATGTGTCTGCAAATGCGCCTGCAACACCAGATACACAAATACAGCTGTCCTGCCTCATGCACAAGTTAACTATTATCACAACTATTTAGAATCTAGTTCAAAACACTTTGTACACTTTTCTAATGGCTTCAGTCAAATACTGTCAAACACTTTGCCGCTTTGGTTTTGTTTGAGGATTTTTCCATCTGTAGTAAAATGTGGATTCATTTACACATTAGTTTCACAAGGTATTACATCAGATGCCCTTCCTGTTGCACAGTATTTACCAAGGTATGGGAGTGACGCAACACATGTTTTGGATCCAATATATATGGTTATTACTTAGACTTAAACTTTGACAAACTTTACTGATCCACAAGCAGTAGTAGTAGTAGTAGTGATAGTAGTAGTAGTGGTAACAGTAGTGATAGTAGTAGTAAAATCCAAAGGAGTGATGCAGTAGCTTAATAGCGCCAGCAGTAGAAGTTAGTTATAGCAGCATTAGTAGTAGTAGTGGTGGTAGTAGTAGTAGTAGTAGTAGTAGTAGTAATAATAGTAGTAGTGACAGTAATAGTATTAAAAGTAGTAGTAAAGGCCAAAGGAGTGATGCAGTAGCTTAACAGTGCCAGCAGTAGTTGTTAGTTCTAGCAGTAGTAGTAGTGATAGTAGTAGTAGTGGCAGTAATAGTAGTAGTAAAAACCAAAGGAGTGATGCAGTAGCTTAATTGTGCCAGCAGTAATAGTTAGTTATAGCAGTAGTAGTAGTATTAGTAGTAGTAATAGTAGTGATAGTAGTCGTACTAGTAGTAAAAGTAGTAGTAGCAGTAGCACTAGTAGTAGTAATAGTAAAAGCCAAAGGAGTGATGCAATAGCCTGATAGTGCCAGCAGTAGTAGTTTGTAATAGTAGTAGTAGTACTAGAAGTAGTAGTAGTAGTAGTAGTAGTAGTAGTAATAGTCATGCTGGTAGTGGTACAATTACACTACAATAAGCAAAAATAATCTTCACTTATTATGTCTTATGATGCCATTTGAATAGAATAAATATATTTCTAATAAAAGGGTGGGGTGCTGCATTTACTCTTAAAGACTTCTGGAACTTCCCTGAAAAGGTATCGAACCACATGGTCAAACAGCTTCCCTTTTTTCATGATCTGTCTTCCTCAAACTGACTTCCAAGTGTGTTTATTAATAATACTTAAAATCATATGTGAATTTTTAATACAAAATTCAGCCGACATATTGGTTGGAAATAGGGAATAGATATAGAAGCCGTTTGTCTGCGCAGTAGCTTTTTATCACTTATTACAAATTAAACCATATGAGTTGTAGTAAAATGCTTTTAAACTTGAATATTTACTGTCTGATCTCTGTTGTTTTGGTTTCTATGGCTAAAAATATCATTACATTGAAAAGACAATTTTAAATATGTACTGTTTTCAAGATAACTCCCACGCACTGTCTCACTCTTGGTTTTGGTTTTATTAGTACAACATTTTTATCTGACCTTCCTCAAGTAAAACATGTACAGTTTTAATTCCATCTATACTCGGCCTACTAAAATTGCATAAGAGCCTAATGGTTTTTAGCGCTAATACCACAAGAGGAATCAGTAATAAAAGCGTAGTATAGTAGTGGTAGTACGGTGGTAGTGATAATAGGAAGTAAACGTTTTCTTTTCTTTTTTTTTTCTAAATACACATCACACACATTATTTTTGCTTTAACGATATTTATACAACTTCAGATTTTATGTAGATGATGTACATCTCTGTAAGTAGCCCTTATAGTGTATTTTAAGGTGTTTCTGTTGTATAAAATGTGTCAGAATAGGCCTAGTACAAATTTACCATTAGTTATTGGCCACTTTTATTTATTTGAATTCACTTTCTTTATACTAGGCTACCATAAAATATACTTGTTTAAATATTTTAAAAACATATTGGTTAATTAAATACCTAATAAAAAGAGCATGTTATTAACTGTCCATTGAACATAATAAACTTCTACTGCTTAAAATTCACAACAAACCCAACTTCTAGCCGTGTTTTCCTCTTTCCTCCTCCTCTCCTCCCTCCCAGTGTGGCCCAATAAATCGCACTTCAGATGCTTGTTTACGGGCGATAAACCAACGCCGAAATGACTAGAGCAGCCAAATGAACTTAAAACAAGACTTATCTTTAGTTGAACGAGTCATTAACCTAACCAGGCACCTCGTAAAACGTTATATAACACGTTTTTTAAAGGGAGTTTGTTTTCGTACCACCGCCCAATGCGCCAGAGAGCAATAAAGATGCTGGAAGATTGACAGTCGGGCAGGTGCTTTGTGCCAAATAGTCTTAAGCATATTTGGGGATCTGAACAACTACAAAATGTAACTTTTAAAATAAATTAAATGTAAAAAAAAGATTGAAATCAGGTTATTATTCACTTTAAATCAACTTTTTAACGCGAAATTGTTATAAAATCTTACATACACGTTTTTATTCAGCGCAAAATGAATCTTAAATTGCGCGTAAAAGCTAAAAAAGTGCAAAAACGCATCGACAAAGCAACGTGAACGACACTACTCACATCTTCCATGATAAAGTCCGTTATATGGGGCTGAATTCACTCGACGTCGCCGCTCTCTCAAGCTCCTATCCCGGGTATAAACTCTTCGCTTCTCCGCTGCTGGCTGATGGGCGCTGGACACATCTCCGAAAAGTCCCAAAAATGACTGCGTAAAATAAGGAACTGTGCAGAGTTTTTCAGTTCATGACACGGACTGACGCGCCTCCTGTGTCTATTTCCCTCATTTACCCCAACAACTGTGAAGAAGTTCGAAGAAAAAAAGTTTGGTTTCCGGTTCGCATTTCAGTGTTGAATAGAAAGCGAGGAGGGGCAACTGCTGCACCCGGCGATGAGCGCGTCTCTCCGGGGGCAAAGCTGCAGCGAGATCCCCGAGGAAACGTGGATGGAGTAAAACGTGAACAAAGATGGAGCTGCAAAGAGAGAGTTTTTGTTTTTAAAGTGCAAAAAAAATCACTAATAGATTCAGTCACATGTCTCCAGCCTGCAGCCACTGAAGCATCCTCCGAGCGAGTCACGGCAGCGGATTTATACAGGGACCACCGATAGATGGCGCTATTTAGGCTATTTCAGTGGAGCCGTCAAAGTTTGTCGACAAATACTTTCTAAATTTTGGAATAGGGACAAAAGTGTAGTGAAAGAGGGAGTAGATATAGAAGACCTTTGTATGCACAGTTGCTTTTTATCACTTTATTACAAATTAAACCATATGAGTTGATGTTAAATGTTTTTAAATTTTAATTTTTACTGTCTGGTCTCTCTGTTTTGGTTTCTTTGACTATAAAAATCATTACTTTGAAAAGACAATAATAATAATATAAATATGTATACTATTTTCAAGAAGAGTACCGCACACTGTCTCACTCTTGGTTCACTTTTCGATCTGACCTTCCTGAAGTAAATGTATAGTGTATAGTTTTAATTCTATTTGTATAGTTTTAATTATATTTATACTGGGCCTACTAAAATTGTGTAATAGTCTTTTTAAGCTATTAAAAAAAGCTATTTAGGCAATTTCATTGGACCCGTCAACGTGTGTACTTTGGAAATTTTGGAATAGGGACAAAACTGAAGTGGTGAAAGAGAAATTAGGAATAGGAACAGAATTACACAAAATATGAAAAAATGAAAAAAGTGTTTTAGTTTTTTTTGCAATATCAAGTACCCAGATAAGTTTATTGGAGTTTATTAAAGGCAACTGCATCATATTTGTTTGTTTAATTATTTAGGAAGATAGACACAGTAGCCTATTTTTGGAGGAAAATGTTAACAACACAATTGGCAAGCAAACTGACTGGCCTTCCTACCTTGGAAATTAAAAATATTTGCTTTTCTCTTAGAGCAGATGCACAGAACAAAAACATACTTTGTTATTTTATGCCATACTGTGGAAGATCATAGCCAAAGGAACAGCATCTCCTCCATCCCAAATAAGCTATGTTTGTGGAACTATACAAGCCCTCTCACTGTAAGGATACATTATTAGGCCTACATGTTTTAAGTGCAATAAGAGCAGCCTATGTTTGTTTAAAAAGTTACTGTGGCTTTAATCGATTAATGATTGAAAATACATAATGGTTTACTTAATTTTGCCTCCATTCCAAAATTTTGAACATTCTGCTGACATTTCAAAGGGTCTACAACCTAAGTTATTTTTTTTGTTCAAGGGGGAAGCCTATGCGAATGAAAAGAGTTTAATATTGCACACACTTAATATCGTTTAATGCTTTACTGTACTTTTTTACTCACTGCTGGGTACTCTGGATGACCAAACATTACCAGAATCATATTGGCATTTTTCCTTTCATGTTCTGACCTCTGTTCTGATCATGATTGCATAAATTTGAATGACTACACTTGCAACATACAATAGTGCTTTTTCAGTAAGTAAATGTAGACTTATTGTCGAGAGAAACTGGCAAATTGGTTTTATTTTTGGACATTGCATTTACTACACAAACGTGACAGAAGCGGAACCTTTATTCCTACTTTCAAACAACCCGGATATTATCGCAGACGGACGAGTGCAACTTTGTTATGAGAACGGGCTGTTGTCTTTGTGATAATAATATTTTTAGCTTTTTATTTAATTAACAGACCTGATTAATGTTATAATGTTGTTCGGTGAAACATGTCTGAAGCAGCTTTAGAAGAAGTTTCGGTTTTATCTTCGATTTACTGCGGGGAGGGAGAGTTTGAGCTGCTACAACAGTCTGGTGAGTGACTATTTAACTATAAACAATATTTAAAAATTACAAGGATTTACAGTTGAGCTGTAGCTCTATAAAAGATCATTTAATTTAGGCCAATAACATGTTTTACTTTGTATTAACGACTTTACTTGACATTTGATGGCCAAAGAAAACAGCAATCAATGAAAATGTTAGAATAAACCTGTACGAGACGTTCTTGAGTTGAGAATATTATTAAAATGAAAAGTTACATAACATAAATTGCAGTGACTATTGGTATATTAATAGAAAAGTAACAAATAAAAGCGGTGAGCAAACTGAGATTTGAACATAACTCGAATAATCACTTTTGGGCACCATGAGTTTAGGGTTTACACAGTGAAGGAAAAAACTAAATCAATATCCATGACCAGAGCTGGATTTTCAAGATTTATTCCAGTTTTGCAGGCAAACAACAAGGGGGTACATGATTAAGGCCTGGTTTTAATGCCTTTTCTGTAAAAAAAAAACAAAACATATGCCCACCAGGTGCACTCTGATCTACCTGTACTACCCTCTTTTATCCCCTAGGTACAAAAAAAAAAAAAAAAAAAACAAAACAAGAAAGGTGGTAATGTAAATAATACCAAATTAGACTAAACAAATTTGCAAACATGATATTAATGTAGCAAAAATACATAATATAAATTAACAAAAACTAAATTAATAAGCTAATTGACAAACAAAAATAATAAACCAATAATAGAATAAACAAAATAAGAAAATAGCTCCTACAATAAATAAGAATTTTACTGCTAATTCTAGTTCACTTTATTAAAATGTCAATCAAAGTGAACTTGTCATGCTACACTACACTGCAGTAGTGGGACCAAGTTGTTGTTTTGCAAGTCTCAAGTAAGTCTCAAGTCAAATACAGGCAAGTCCAAGTTGAGTCTTGAGTCACTGGCCCAAGTCCAAGTCATCTTCTTTATTTATATGAATTTTAAACTAAATTGTACAAAGTCATGGTATATTTATTTTTATGTATGAGTTTTTATGAGATTTTTATACATAAAGAGTTGTAGACATTTTAATTTTTCATTTTTAAATAATTTGAGTTACAACCAAAGTAACAACTGGAGAAGTGGGAGAGACATGGAAATATATATATATATTTTAGGAGAAACATCAAGTTTTCTCAAGTGAAAGGGCTCAAGTCCAAGTCCCAAGTCATGTGTTGTTAATATTGTTAATCTACTAACGTCATAGTAATTACAGATGCAGAGTGGCTGAACGGTCTTCCCTAAGCACACATATTCTTTTAAACTTTACCATTTTTATATAAATGTGAATAGAGATGCATTACGTAATAATTAAATAAACAGACAAATAATCAAAATAATTATATCTTCTTTTTCTGAATCCAAGTAATCCAAGTTGTCAGTTAATTAGATGATTAGGGTGTGACTCCGTAACTTTCCAATATTGAACTTTTTCGCATTATTCAAATTTTCTGAGACACTGAATTTTGGGGTTTCATTATCTAAGTCCAAGTCCCAATCAATTATCAAGTCAAGTCTCAAGTCGTAAAAATAGTGACTCAAGTCAGACTCAAGTCCAAGTCATGACTTCTGCTACACTGTTTTTAATAATATAATAATATTCGAGTAGTGAATATTATTATTGTTGCATTACCTTCCTTTGCTGTGCAGCTGATGGAGTGACACTGCAGATCACCTCATGTGTTCTGGGAGGACAGGGGGTGACTTTGCTCTTCCACCTGCCCCCCTCATACCCCCTCTTCCCCCCGCACATCTCCGTCTCCTCTTCTGCTCTGACCAGAACCCAGTGTCAGAGCATCAGACAACAGCTGCTCCAACAGGCCGCCTCTTTACCCCCAGAAGCAATGGTTCATCATCTGATCGAGAGCTTACAGGTGAGCTCTTTAAAAACACTATAAATGATAATGTTAAAACTACTTTGGACTGACACAATAACGCTTACGCAATCTCTGTTAACCCATATCATGGACCACATCGTAAAAACATGAGGTGCATTTATGGCTGAAATATGATCTGGCAAACTGATACCAGAATCATTTAATCTATTTTATTGTTTGTGGAAGAAATGATGGCACTGGCAAACTTTGTGATTTGCTAATAGCGTTTATTCAAATTATGTTTTTGGATTTGATTGCAATTAATTTCACTTAATCTGCAGGTAATAAATAACACAATGAAACACTTTAAAGGTGCATTGTGTAACTTTTTTGGTTGAGGTTACAGGTCAAATCTGTGGCGAGACGACCACACTCACAATCAGATTTCTAGGTATTTTTGAGCTATAAATAAACGTAAGGCACAGATGTTTAATGTCATACTATGGGACATTTTAGGCAGAGCAATGACATATCCCCCAAACAAAAAGTTACACAGAGCACCTTTAATAGTTAATTATGATTAACAGGTATTATACAGTTAATTATTCAACTTTCACCTTCAAATGTGATCATACTCCAATAAACAAATAAAATAAGCATCTCTCTAGTTCTAAAGTTCACACAATAAATCTTGAGCCATAAAAATAATTTTAATCTGAAGTCATTGTAATTATAGAGGCACAGTGGGTGAACTATCTTCCCTAAGGACACATATTCTTTTAAACTTTGCCACTTTTATATAGATGTGAATAAAGATGCATTAACTAATAATTAAATAAACAGACAACTAATCAAAATAATTATATCTTCTCCTTCTGAATCCAAGTAATCAAAGTTTTCAGTTAAATAGGTGATTACTGTGTGACTCTGTTGCCTTCCAAAATTAAACTTTTTCACAATATTTAAATTTTCTGAGACACTGAATTTTGCGATTTAATTATCTGCAAGGCATGTTCATCAAAATTTAAAAAAAAAAAAAGTCTTGAAAGCTTCACTCTATGTGCCATGATCTATATAATATATGTTTTTTACTTTCTGAAATTAGTGACAAACAATATTGAACTTTTTTGTGATATTCAAATTTTTTTGAGATGGATGTATTGGTTAATTTGTACATTACTGCTTCTCTTCCAGAGCTTAGACGTGTCTGAGGCCCTTCCTGGATCAGAGACAGAGGTGAGACCAGACCAGGACCAGAACCAGGACCAGGACTTGTGGGTCTCAGTTTTGTCTCTGGACCACATGAGATCAAGAAATCGTTACGTCTCTCCTGGAGCGATGGAGCAAACAGCTGCAGCTCAGTGGGAGGTTATTACTGGGACGAAACATTCTGGTTTTACTGCAGGGAAGCAAAACCAGCATCAAGGTAAATATTTGAGTCCAGCAACACCAATACAGTTGCCCTCTCTTCCTGTATTAATGTGGTTTCTTTCCTCTTAGGTTCAATTCAATAACACATTTATTGCCAGTGGGTCAATTCAAAAGGCACAAACAGCAGCTGCACAATCATAAGAACAAAGTGACATTAAACATGACGTTAATACTGACAGTGCTGTTAACAAAAAGGTGGCTAGACATATGTGGTATATATTAGGGCCCGACCGATATGGATTTTGTTGTGGCCGATATGAAACAGATATAATGGGAGTTGGAGCTGCCGATAGCCGATATATTCGCCGATATATTTAGTAATGTAAAAATTCACTGTAAATCTTGAATTGTTTAAAAAACTTAGGTTTGGCTCTAGTGGATTCTAAATTGGGTTTATTTAGGCAACATTTATTGTTGTTCTGCCTCTTTACGTCATATTTACATACATACAATAGATTGGCCTAATGGCATTTTTGCATCACATTCTAGCTACTAGTGATGGGTATTCCATTTTTTTTTGGAAAACTGTCTCTTTTGGCTCAGCTCACTAAAGCAGCTGGCTCTTTCGGCTCCCAAGCGACTCTTGAGATTGTTTTGTTGCAAGCAGGACTAAACCAGAACTGAACCAGAACTGAAAAAGGACTAAACCAGGACTAAAACAGATTTAAACCATGTGTGAAACAGGACTAAACCAGAACTTAACCAGGTCTGAGTATCGGGACTCGGTTTCTATCTCTCTCCCTCACTTGAGCCCAAGATTAGTCCTGGTTTATTCATTTTATGCTGAACTGCAGCCAAATATGCCCTTTTTATTTTTATTTATTTTTTTATCCTATGCACACGCAGATTTCTGAAAGTTTCGTTTTCAGCCGCTGCTGCTGTCAAACTACGGGTCTACAAGCGACTTGAAGAGAAAAAGTGAGAAAAAGAGAAAACACGGCTCCCAATAAGAAACATGCTCCCGTTGTTCGCTTCAAAGAGCCGGATCTAAGAGCTGCTTCTATCGCGACCGACCCATAACTCCTAGCTAGTAAACTACCGCTATTAGCCTTTAGCCGTAAAAACGGGCGCACCGCGGTAATTAATTATATGCATAAATGTGGATCATTCACACGTCTATTCACAGCTCATTTACATATCAATGCTGGTCTAGTAACAAATATACGGCCAATATAGTCACTTTACAATAGACCAATAGAAAACAGCCTGTTTATGTGCAGGAGCTACAGCAGCTAATCGCTAACAAAACCTAAACTAGCTTCAAAGTCGATGTATTTCCAACACTCACCGCTCACACAGGCTCCTCCTCACATCACAAGTCTGCACTAATAAATGTCCTTTTAATCCAGACTCAAACCGATTGTCGTAAAAAGAAAATAATCTCAGTGTTGCGCCCCGCTGCGGGTGTAAACAAACACACGTGAGTGAAGTGACGTCACTCTGGGGGTGTGTTCAGGGACAGTACGGACACAGACAAATTACACCGCAGACAAATACTGATGCGGAGCCACATATTAGGACATTTATCTGTCTGTAAATTGGATTAAATGAACATAATGTAGAGAGTCTAAGCTTTATAACGAGGTATAACATGCCCACGTGAAATATCGGCCCATATCAGCGAGCATATCGGCCGATAGCCGATATGTCTCCAGGTGCCCATATTGGCCGATAATATCAATTTCAGCGCAGACAACATGAAGAAATATGTTTTTACTTGAATTCTTAGGTTTATGACAGTAATAATTCACACCAAAATCTGGTCAAGGTATTTTAAACTAGTCAGAATGTCTTGCTATTTTAAAGGTGCAAACCAAATCTATTTACATGTACCAATAAAGTCACCTGAACCTGAATCCAATAGTTAATGGTGGCCATACAAATCAGGATAGTTATGCAACTTGACCATTGTTTTCATTGACTATACAATCCAACTTTATTCATATAGCACATTTTATAAACAAGACAGTTTACATAGCAATGTAAACGATTTTACTTAATTCTGCAGATTTTTTTTAAATGTTCCAACCATCAGAAAACTAGTAGAATCATTAGATAAAACAATAATAATAAAATCAATACCTAAAAGCAGTACTAAAAAAATAATAGATAAAAACAATAAATAAATAAATACATAAAAAAAGACAGAGGACTACACAAAAAGCCAGAAAATAAAAGTAGGTCTTAAGACTAGACTTCACTCCACTGTGGGGGACTAATTACACCATTTACTCTTATTTTGCCCTAATAGGCTCTTTTCACTCTTACCAGAAGACGTTGGAAATATGTGGATGACGACTTCCGGTGTAGTTGCCAACACTGATCATGTGATAAAACGATGGATTCAGCAGCAGCGTCTTCACAACCTGCCAAGGCTTTTCATGGGGGACGTGACTCTTATTGCAGCTTCAGTGTCATTCACAGGCAGCTGGTTGTAACTGTTCATCTGCTACAGTGACATCTTTTTATTTATTTTGTTTAAATAGACAAATTAATAGGAAACTTACAAAAGTAAAAAAAAAAAAAAAAAAGAATACAATGACATCTAGATGAATAAAATCGGGCAATTTTTTCAGTTTTCTTAGAGGAAGTCGTCATCCGCATGTTTCCAAAGTAAAGCCTATTGTTGAATCTGTATAATTATTTACTAAACATTGTCATATGATTATTACATGTCTCCAGGAGTTCTGTTGCCTTTTAAAAACAGTGAAGGTGGATGTGGATTCTTCTGGAAAAAAGTGCAAAGAGAGACTCATGAAGGTTCTCATTGAAGCACCAGCGCCTCTGGACACTCAAAACAGGTACAAACTTGTGTTCACATAGCCATTTATATTTACTAACCTACAGCACAGTTTATTTTAGCTTTATCATTCTCGTTTCAGTCTGCAGGGGTTTGAGGTGAGGCAGTGCCATTCTGGGTCAGAGCTCAGAGCAGCGTTTGAGGAAGTCCATCTGAGTGAGATCTACAAGAACATTTTACCGTCATTACGAGACTGAAGCAAAGAGAACCAAAACCACTGAAAAAACAAAAGAGACACCCCTCAGAGAACTTTCAGTAAGCGAAATGTTAAACCAGTGGAGACTTTAAGATGCCAAACACAGAACTAAACTTTGCCATTCAAAAGTATTCTGACATTATACGGCGATTAAGTTATTTAACAGTAGTTGCCCAGATGCTTACCGGGTTCCATGCCTTGTTTACTTTTTTAATACAGTATTTGCTAGGGATGAACCAATCTGATACAGGTATCTGATATTGGTGCTGATACCGGAATATTTCCTGGGTCGGGTATCATCCTCCACGTATTGTTAAAAATATCGGTTGTACATAATGAGACGTAGATGGCCTAGAAAGTCTCATAATGTTTGAACTTTTATTTATATGAAGTTGTTCTGTAGTTCTGTAGAGAGATAAATAACACCTACATAACACATTTGGATCAGTCTTTTTTTTTTTGTTTAAAGAAAATGAATGCAGTTTTCAGTATTTGCACTGGTCTGGGTTAATATTGAGTATTGACAGATACTTAAAGCCAGAGGTGGGGACTTGCAAGTCAGACTTTTTCAGATTTTTAGGACTTGAGACTTGACTTGATAAAACTGATAAAGACTTGGGACTTGACTTAGACTTGACTCAGACTTGAGGCCTGTGACTTGAGAAGACTCGATGTTTTCAGAAAACAGTTTTCTCTTTGCTGTTGATGTATGCGGTGCTTAATTTTACAGGAACAAACTGGAACATGTCCCTCATACTTCTGTATTTACTTTGGATGTAAGTGAAGTACTGTGAGACGGTATCCTCAAATGTACTACAGTAATATATAGTATAATACTGTAAAACAAAGGAAACTACATAGAACATGATCCTTCCATTTTAGTGCAGACTACATGACAAAATAACTGTTATTTAGCACTGAATTCTGAATCTGAATTCTTTCTATTCTGACTGTAATGATTCTCACTAAGATCTTGTCAAGACATTTAAAAAGGAAAGATTAACATTTCTACAACTCTTATATAATACTTAAATATAATATACCATGATTTTTTAGGTACAAACTTCAGTCTTTGGTTTAAAGACTTGAAATGACTTGAAGTTCAAAGCAGACGACTTGGACTTGACTCAGACTTATGAGCCAGTGACTCGAGACTAGACTCCGACTTGACTGTATCTGACTTGGGACTTGACTCAAACTTGAGGTCAAAGAACTGAAAAAGCAGGATTGGTTATAGGTTAGTTTATACATAAATACATATGAAATTGTGAATTTGCTGCTATCAGTTATACAGGCATATATTTATAGAGTAAATCTTTAAATTATTAATATAAATGACACATTGTTTGTAAATCGTGAGCCTCCACAAAAGAGAAATAAGTTGGGTTAAAAAATGGGTAAAGACCTACTGCAGTGGTACAAATGTGTGTTCTACTGCAAAATAAATAAAACTTTAAAATAATTGTAAACTTTTGCAGACCATTGGTGTAGGGACAAAAAGCTGTTTGTTGTTCTTAACATGTACTGGGTAATAAAAGAAACTTACAAATACACAGAAAAAGCTTTAAACCACATTAAAATGTTGTTACCTCCTTAGAAACATATCTTGAGTTGTATTTTGTTTTGTTCACACGTTTGAGTTATTATTAGTCTGTCTACTTCTCCAAAGCTCAAAAAGCTCTGTTCCCCCTCGCTGTACGTTAACAACTACTTTTTACTTTTAGACCAGCAGAGATTGGCAATTCCAGGGCTGAAATTATCCAAATGATTCTAGGTAAGGTGCGTGTAGTTTAAAAACACAGTGGAGCTCTTCCTGTATTACCACATGACATCGCAGGAGTGTTTTCTGTTTGAGAGAAGAACTCGTAAATATGCAGGATTTGCGTGTGAAACGTGTGAATGAAACAAAAACACAACTCCAGGTGTATTTGTGATGAGGAAACAACATTATAACATGACACAAAATGGCCCCTACACTGGATTACATCTGTTTGTGCATTTGAACAGATAAGGTGTTGGCTGCTTTCCAATACATCGTAATGATTTGTAGATGCAATATAAAACACATATGGGCTACTAAAGTTAAAGTCACATTTGTTTCATTGACTTTAAGATCATGTTGAGAGCCCATTGCCTGTCCCTGTACAGTGTGTGTTCCTGTGTTTGTATCCACAGCAGCACAAGTGTCCTTGTCGTGTCCTAAATCTACATTTGTTTTTTTCCCCTCTCAACTGAAAACAAAAGACGATTGTGCCTCAGAGACAGAGGCTCCAGCCCCGAGCCTCACCCTCCACTGTCTGTGCTGTGAGAATATCAGCCCTGTTTATGTAAAAAAAAACACAGGGAAAAAAAAGTCTCAGGTCAGTTTGAATGAAATTGTTTCATGCAATTAAGTTACACTCTATATAGTCAAATATGTGGTTAGTTTAGGCTTTAATTAGATTTATTTTGTACATTATGGGACACAGTTTGTACACATAATACTGCACCGACACTTAAAAAAAACATTTTACTTTACAATATATACTTAGTTTTTAGTGTTTTTGTTCAATATGTACAGTACTTTACGCTTCCCCCTAGTGGATACTATTATACTTGCATCAGACTTGAGTCACTATTTTTAGGACTTGAGACTTGATAACATAGGCTAAGGCTTGAGACTCGACTTGGACTTGACATGGACTTGAACCCTGTGACTTGAGAACACTTGATGTCCCCCCCCAAAAAAAAATGTTTTTAGAAAATACTTTTCTCTGGAACATGTCTCTCCCACTTCTCTATTTGTTACTTTGGATGTAACTGAAGTACCGTGACATGGTATCCTCAAATGTACTACCGTAATATACAGTACAATACATTAAAACAGAGGGAACTACAGCAAACACAATCCTTCCATTTCAGTGCATATTACATGACAAAATAACTGATATTAAGCACTTTTAAATCTTAACTCTTTCTATTCTGACCGTAATGATTCACACTAAGATCTTATCAAAACATTGAAAAAGGAAATATTTGCATTTCTACAACTCTTATACACTCTATAAATACGCATATATTAATATTCCATGACTTTTTAAGTGCAATTTAGTTTAAAATTCATATAAATTGCAAAAAGACTTGAGACTCGATTTGGACTTGCCTGTATTTGGCTTGGGACTTGAGGTCAAAGACTTGAGATTTACTCGAGACTTGAAAAACAACAACTTGTCCCACCTCTGACTTGCACGACCTTATCCTGTTTTTTTTTTTTTTTTTGGGAAGATGCACTTAATGCAGTGTAATTTTTGTCTTTGCATTGTTTTATTAATGGTAAAAAAAAAAAAAAGTTTCACAGATACCAAACCAAACCAAGCGTTTCAACTGTCCAAACCTTGTCTACCTCTGCCCTCTCCTGGACAAATGCGGTATTACACTCAATTGTTTTATGAATACAAAAATACAACATTCTTCTTACTATTTCTTCAGCATTTGTTTAAGAATTCACAGACACAAAATTTGGTTCATTCTAGTTTATTTACATGCATCCCTCTATACATTTGTATGTGTAAAAATTTACTGTACACATGAAGCAAAATATAAACATTCATTAACGTACATTTATTAACAAGTATAGTGTAGTAACGTGTTATTTAAACCCATTTTAGTTTTTTCTTGAGTTTTTTCTTGAGTAATGTGTGCATCGTATCACCATGGTAACTCCTGAACATTCTATCCTTAGAGATCCATGTAGAACACCCCCAAACAGGAGGTCACTGCAAAGTATCAATATTCAAATAATGTTGGTTATAAAATTCATGCTAGCCATTCATGAGGCAGGTTTTGCAGCAGAATTGTCGATAAAGTTTCTTCTCACACAAACGATTAGACTTCACCATTTCACAGAAAATCTCGTCGGCTAAAAACACAACAAAGTTTTGAGTTAGAATCTGGATTATCTGTTATTTATGCTATTACCACTATCACTGCTACTATTACTACTACTGCTACTGCTACTACTTTTAAATAACATCTCAGACTGATTCAAGTGCACTCACTGAAGCTTCAGACACACTCCATTAAAACATGAATACATGAAACTTTTTGTCACCCTCCTGGCATAAAAGTCATTTGCCTGTGACAAATCTGGGACAGCCCAATAGTCCAGGACTAAACCAGGATTAATAAATAAATATATACATGCTGCAACTGCTGAGCCGATCGCCAGGACTCTGCTAGGACTGGACATGGACTGAACAAGGACTAAATCAGGACTAAATCAGGATTAAATCAGGACTAAACCAGGACTAAACCAAGACTAAACCAAGATTTAACCAGGTCTAAAGCAAGACTGAACCAGGACTGAACCAGGTCTAAACTAGGACTAAACCACTGTCATTAGCATAAATATATACACGCCGCAACCACCGAGCTGATGGGCAGGACTACAACCAGGACTGGACCAAGTCTGAACCAGGACTGAACCAAGACTAAACCAGGACTAAACCAGGAGTGCAGCTGCTGAGTTGATCACCTCCACTGATGGTTTTATGTAACAAATAAACTAAAGTCTCTCTCAGCTTGGTCCATCGTTCCGGGGAAAGACCCGAGAAATGGCACTTGTTTCCAGGGCAACGGACGTCCTGGATGTGCGTCAGGTACTTTTCTCCCGTTTGTCGTTTCATTTGATTCACCTGACCTGCCTGTGTGTAATCATGACCCGTTCGCATACCCGCCTGAAAAATTCCAGAACGTTAAAACCCCCCCTTTTCAGCAACTATTTGCAGGTACCCATCTCTGCTGTGAATGTGAATTTTTTAGTATCGATACTTGTTCCAATCTAACTTTTTGATCATCTGATTTTCAATACCCTACTCTGAAGCTGGTGGTTCAGAGCAGGTCCTTACCGTTGTTACAGGAGGAGTTGACGACACAGGTGCGGCTCACCAGACTGAAGCCGTCTTTACACCTGAGACACGCCGTCCCCGGGCCACTACAGCTCAAGCAGTTTTCCTCACATCTGAAAGAATATATATATCAATAATCAATCAAATACTGAGTAACAATTTCATAAGATTTCATTTAAATCAGGTTTCTGACCATTATGGCATTTTTTTTGTAGGCTCTTCTTTTTGTTTACAAAGTTGAAAAAGCTGAGGCACTCAAAAAGTACAAAATAATTATCAGGGCATGAAGGCTGATGGGCCGAAATGTGTTCACATGATTTTAACTTTATTGTCTTTTAATTATTGTGTACTTTTTGAGTGTCTCAGCTTTTTCAGCTTTGTATTTGAGACTGGTCCCTACACTGAAGAGGACCAAAAGGACAATTTTGCACAATATCTGTACATCCAAGTAGCACTCCTGCCCCCTAAAGTTCTTCTTTTTGTTTTTCTTTTTTTTTGTTATAGCAGTAGTTGTAGCTCTACCTTGACATTTTAAACTTCTAACTAACTTCTAAACTTCTATGATTCTAACTACCATCTGGTCTTGAAAATAAAATAATTAAACCATACTTAAATAAACATCAGATTTATTTTAGTCCTACCTGTGGCACATCCTGTTCCTGCCAGCAGAGGGCTGTCCAGAGTAGTATCCAGGGGCACAGGCCTGAACACACCTCCACTCCTGCTGCAGGAAGCCCTCAGTACAGCGGATACACTCTCCTTTACCAGGGCCTAACAGGTCAGAAGATACATGCTACTGCTTTATACAAATACAGTAATAAGAACATCTGAAACATCTCAAACTGAAAACACAGAACCAAGCCCAGAAAGCCAGTTCAGTCTATACTGCCCTACAAAGGCAGAAAACTGTAACGTCATGTTTGGTCAAAAAAATTTTCATGTCATTTTGGGGGTATCTGAAACCTCCTTTATCACTGTGAATAAATGTCAATAAAAATATTGAGCTCAAAATTGCAGTTTGACCCTTATTTGGCAGTTCCTGTTCTCTGCCTTCGTACCATGAACCAAAAATAAGGAGTCATGCAAAGGCAAAAGGCAGAAACTGTGTATGTTTTGTTTGTGATTTAGTTAATAAATATAATTTATTTTAAAATCAACCTCTCACCTCCTTCTTTTTGTTGCGGCTTTGGCACAGGGTCTTAACACATTAAATAAATATACCTTTGTATTATATTCTATTTAAATTATGTTTAATCTGAAAGTATGTTGTGTATTTATTCATACTATACATACTATACTGCAAAGTTAAACAAACTGTTTAACTGTGTGTCGCCGCACGATCCTGATCATCACTAAATAGGAAATCCAAAGCTCTTCTATATCATTTCAAACAAACCCCATAATGACTAGAGCTTGGTGAGGTTCTTATAATGGATACAAGTCTGGGGAAAATCAAGCAAATAATGATCATGTCAGTAATTGTATTATGTGCCAAAAATAAGAAGTCGTGCAAAGGTAAAAGGCAAAGGCAGAGTATAGGAACTGCCAACAAAGTTAAATTTTGAGGTCAATATTTTTCGCATGCAAATATTTCTTCATTATAGCAGCTAGTCAAATTTTGGGAGCCCTACCTATTATACTTTTGTCTGGACAAAACAGAAACTCTGAAATAATAAATTTAAAATTAATAAATTTTCTTAGTTTCACAATCTGACGAGTTCAGGTATTTTGCCTTCGTAGGACAGTATAATATGGACCCTTTATTACAATAACAACAGCTAAACATGTAGATTTCAAAGAGAGACTGACCTGTACATGTCTGACAGGAGGAGTGACAGCGCCTGCAGCTCATTTCCTCCAAGTGAAAAAATGTCCCTTTGGTGCATTCAGGGACACAGGTCATCCCAGCCAGACTGTGGATACAAATATAAATATATCTTTACAGCGAGACTAAACACCTAAACTCTGCCCACAAATACATTTCAAATAGAGCTGACAAACTGGGCAGTACCTGGAGGACTAAACGAGAGGGAAGGATATATACATTGAGTAATAATGTGTTTAATGCAGCTTTACCCACATTTGTTTACATTTTACAGAAAGTAAACTTAAAACCACATGGCTAACTTTGCATAAACTATAAGCATCGAAAAAACAGCTTGCTCCTTGTGCGCTGATGCGGTCAGCTTCTGTCGGGCTCCTGACTATAGTAGCAATAATGCTCCAACAATTCATCAAGCGGTGTGGCTTTGTAGTTTACCAAAGTTGTACTTAAACATTTTGACAAATTTTTACACGCCGTGTACCACATAAAATCAGTTCAACGTCAGTAAGCACAATCAGAATTAATAATAGGGTGCACCGGATTATAAAACACAATGTTAAATTTTGAGAAAATTAAAGGATATCAAGTGCTGCTTATAGTCAAAAAAAATATGGTAATCCACAGTACAGCATTATAGACATATCTATCCTGCATTAACTGAAATACAAGTGCGTTCAGTGCAAAAATTAAAATCTTGAAAAACATTTTTACCATACTTTGAGTGGGGTCTCCTCTCCACAGATCTGACCTGAAACTTAGCCTGGTAGCATGACCTGTTTGTTTCCGCTGAATGTTGAAAGCAAAGCATTAATATTACCTATGGAGACAAGCAGGTGGCCGGACCCTCGTCCAGTAAAGCTACATAGTGCGCTTGTAAATAATCCTAATAAAGTGATAGAACTGTCACCTGTATCCTTGTTTACAGGCCGTGCATCTGTCTGAGTCTTTCACACATCCCTTACAGTTGTCATTACACTCCACACACCGCTGCTGCTCTGAAAAAGAAAGAAATTATAAATAGCACAACATAATAACAGATTGTTCAGTCACTACCCATTCAGAAGCCCACTGCAGGTCAGGAAGTGCACTAAAAAGAACAACTGAGACCAACCAGCTGCATGGTAACTAATGTCCATGATGTGGTTGTTGTTTAGTTAAAAACAAAACAAAACACACACTTAAAACTTAATATTCTGCAAAATGTTTTAGTATCTTAGCAGTTTATAAAGAAACAGTTTTGAAATACATTTATAGGTCTTGTGGTCTTTAGTTACCACAAAGCTGATTAGCCCCGAGCAAACCATCAAAATATAATATATTATATTATATGACGTATTTTTTTTAACTATTTTTCAGATTCTCACTGAAAGCACTAAAACTATGAATGAATGTGGAATGCAGTAAAAAAAAAAAAAAAAAAAAAAAAATCAAAATAAGTTTAACTAACTACTCCTGTACTCTTGGCATTTCTTGACCCTGTCAAGGCAAAGCTGTGAAGAGACGATGGCTACTTTAAAGAATTTGCCTTAAAAATATAAAATTATTAGGGGTGTAACGATACACAAAAATCACGGATCAGTATGTACCTCGGTTTTGTGGTCATGGTTAAGTTAATTTTTGGTATAGTATAGGGACAAAATGCAAAACCATTTGCTTATTAAACCAACAGTTTGTTTTAACATTACACAAAGTGCTGCTTAACTAATAAACTCTCAAATAAGCAACAAATGTATGAAATATTATAAAAAAATTAATTCCTTGTAAACAGTAAACAAAACTTTTTGAAAAGCAAGGCACCGCACTAGCAGTTCCAGTAGGAAGTTTTACTTAATCTCATATTTTTAGCCAGAAAAAACAACTTGTCCACATTGTCTGCAGTAAGTGCAGATCTGCTGGCACTTACAAAGTCCTCAGCGGTTGAAAATACCCTTTCGCTAGGGACAGAGGTCGCGGGTATGGAATTGCGCAAATTCACTTGTACATAGCCCTGCACCGAACCGAATGTCCCGTAAAATTCTACCAAATTTCTGAGCAACAGGTACTCACCCTGGTTGCCGTAGTGACCTTGTGGGCAGGTGTCGACACAGGTGGAGCTCAGAGGGTTCATGTACAGGCCTCTTCTACAGGACGAACACTTTGCCTCCGACTGACCCAAGCACCGCTCACAGTTTCTATGGCAACGCTTGCAGCGACGTGCCGCCACGTCTCCGAAATACCCCACAGGACAATGGCTCACACAGGCCCTAACGCAAAACAGTACAACATGCCATAAGTTAATTCTGTTTAGAGGAAATACATTTTATTTTTAGCTTGGAGACAATATCAGTGATCGAAATGACAAAAATTATACTCAAATACAAGGACTGCAGCTAAATATGTACTTAACATGCATGTAAGATTTTAATTTTAAATTCCATAAACATGATAAAACTGTGTAACCTCTATATATACTATTTAACTTTAAAGCATTATTATTTAATTTAACAGTTTAAAGCTGAGTTAGACAGTTTTAAGCCAAACCTCTCAGTGTTGGGTCGTCCCAGACTAAAGTGGGCACAGTTGAGGCAGTGTTCAGCCTTAGGTCCATCACAGCCCTGATCTCCACAATCACTGTGACAGGGGCCTGAGGGAACAACAGAAAGACAATAGTTCAGTTGATAGTGTTTGCAGGATTCCCAAGGTCATGGGAATCTTGGAAAAGTCATGGAAATTGAAAATGTCATTTTCCAGCCCTGGAAAAGTCATGGAATTTTAGTATCTCTTTCATGCAACCACAGCGTTCTGTTAAGTTATCATTAGAATATTACGATTATTCCCTAAGGTCACCACTTTTGTTTAAAAGAGACAACAATAAATGCACTGACAGCATTTTGAGTGTTAAAAAACTATAACACCAAACTATAAGGTGAGTGGAAAGGGTTGACATTTCATATTTAGCCCTAAAAGTCTGTTCAATTCTACACATGTAGGGTGCTGTAAAGTCATGGAAAAGTTTAGAAATTTTGTCAGTGAAAAGGAGTGGGAACCTTGCTCCACTGGTCCGAAAGTTGGGGGTTCAAATCCCACTCTTGACATAAAACATCATTGATAGAACGGTCAGATCCACATATACACTATTAGAGATGCAGCAGCTTTATCAGGTTGTCACAATTTATTTATTTATTTTTTTTACATTACAAGACATTACACTGTGCACTATGTTTTCATTAAAAAACAAAGAAAACACACCCAATTGGAAAAAAGCAAATAATGAACACTGGGAAGTTATGCTCAACAATTCACATTTTAGATCCCTGCTTTGGTCATAATCGCTCACCGTTGTACTCCTCCTCCTCTTCCTCCTGTAGCTCTGGCTCATCCAGGACCCCCTCTGGACCTGGAACGTCCTGGTTTGTGGAGCTGGAGTGGTGAAGGTACGGGTCCTCAGAGGTGCCATAAAGAGTCAGCGACCACTCTTTGAGGTTTCCTGTATTCATGAAGTTAACAATATTATAATTCTTTAAGTGTTGGTATTAGTGGTTAAAGGTGGATTGTGTAACTTTTCTGGTGAAGGGCAAGGACATATTCATAGAAACAACCAGGTGGCTTTTTTTTTTTGAGAAAAAAGTTGTGGGTGACTTATAGTCCAGAAATTACAGTAATTTGTATGCCGAAAATGATTGTATTGTCTCACCCAGGACCTCTGTGTTTCGTAGTTTCGATGGACAATCCTTGATCTCCAGAGTCCACGAGCCTTCAGCCTTTTCTCCCCAAAAATGAACCGACATAAACTCCCAGTTTCTGAAGCCCTGATTTGAGCCATCGTACAACCTGCAACAGAATATGCATATTAAAGGAGCGTTCACACATTAACCACCGCATCACTGAGACTTGACCAGAACAGGACCAAAACAAGGCTACACCAAGACAAAAACTAGTGTGAATGCACTGCTTCTGCCTTTTGTTTGGAGGAATCAGAAAACTTTTAATTCTGTGGTCTCATTTTTAAGACTCTGGGTCTCCCCTCCCTTTGCTCTCTGCGTTAATTCAGCCCCCCTTCAGAGCGCCATTACAACGCAATCAGAATGCATCACGCTAATGAAACTACAGCATATCGCATCAGGTTTTATCAAGTTGCTGTGTACAGTTGTCATGTTTTTGTATATTCATGGACAATTATCATGTGGGAGCATGGGTGACATAAACAGTGGATAGAATCTTACAGCTAACCATAAGGAGGGGTCAAATAAGGCCTAGGAGAGATCACTAAATTACACAAACATGCATGGATGCCAACTAAAACCTCTACAGGCATGTTTGTGATGAGGGAACAGTGTTATATATTGTTATTATATTGTTGTTAGTTATTCAATGGTAGTTATGTTACTAAAGTGTAGTCTTCACCTCTTGGCCAGCAGCTGAGACCTGGTCCCAGACGGAGAGATGAGGCTGATTTCGAGGTCTCCCCTTCGTGGGTGTGTGAGGAGGACACTGACCACCACATGCTCCAGAAACTTCACCTCCCGATCAGCCTCATCAGAGCACCCAGAGGAGACAGTGGAGCTGTTCAGAGTCTGACCCGCATGAATATAACTGCAGAGGGCACAGGAAAATGAAATAACTTAAGTTTAGTTCATTTAATCATATCTTTTGTGGGGTTTTTTTTTTTGTGTCAAACATAAGGACTTTTGTGTTTCAAATTTCAACTTAGTTTTAGTATCACAGCCATGATTTAGCCTTTATTTTTACTGAATTGTATCAAATCGACTTGAAATATATCGAATCAAAAGTTCACTGTATTGAAATATGTATCGTATCGTGGCCTATGTATTGAGGTTTGTATCGTAACTTCTTAATGATACTTAGCTCTAGTACAGTAATAGTAGTGGAGTAAAAGTAGTAGTATTTGTTGTACAATAACCATACAGTAATCATACACTACAGTAAGTACAAAGAAGTGGGCAGGGATAGGAGGTAGGAGAAAACAGAAACACTCAAGTCTGAAATGCAGGAGAATACAGAATTACTGAAACATCAAACAAAATACAAAAAGTCAAGTAATGATGAAGGAACACTTATAACTAGCTCACTGAAGTTGATTTTACATAATACATCCCCTTTAAGTAAACAATTACAGACTTACCTGTTTGGTCTGAGTGGTTTGTGGGTGCAGGTGCGCTGTGGCGGGACCGTCCTCCATTTTGAGGCCTCTTGGACCATGGCCTCCGCATCGACCAGCCCGAACCCATACAGGTGACTGACTGTAAGCACAAACAGGACATGTGTTATTTTAAAACACCACCAGGGGGCGCTCTGGACCTCTCATAGTGCTGTATATAGAACAGTGGAAGTACTATGTGAGTATTAGAAGGGTGTGTGCCTCTGAGTCCGGCTGCATTGGTTTTCCAGTCGTCCGCTTTGAGGTGAAGAGGTCGAGATGTTCGGACTAAAAGGTGCTGCACGTCTCTCCAGGTAAGAAGAAGACTAAAAAACAAGAACAGTATTATATTTAACACATTTGACACAATAAAAACTGTACAGATATATTGTCTAAGCAGCTTTTTAGGTCAAAAGTTTTATTGTACGATAATCAGGAAGTACGCGTTATTGTTGCCACAAACTCACAGATATCTGACTGTGAAAAGTGTAAATAGGATGGTCAAAATACATAAGGTAAGTGAGGAATAACTTTTCATCACTGCAAGCTGTCTAAAACAATGTAGTTCTGCTTTTCATGTTTTTTAAGAAGTAAAAATTAAGAGTGTAATAAGAGTTACAGACTTGGCCTCCAGAGCCAGAGCGATGATCCCGGCCACGATGGGAGCAGAGACAGAGGTCCCAGTGTGACGATCAGTGCAGCGCTGGTGTAGGTCTGTGGTCACCTGGAACAGAAACCACGAATAGATTGGGATGTTGGCCATATTTAAGGTGCACAATGCAGGTCTGCCATGAAAATGTCAGTGCTTTGCGTGGATGTTCTACAGTAAGGCACTTGCCGTGAAGATAATCAGGTAAAGTAGCTGAGTGGAAGCTAAGAAAGCAAGAATGTGGCCTCTACAGTGCCAAATATCCTACTCACGCTCGACATAGTGGAAAAGTTGTCTGTTATGTTCCACAGTGAGGCATTAAATGATCTATCTCCGTGAAGAAAAGCAGGTAAAGTCAAAAGAGAAACTTACAGGTGAGATCTGCAGAGAAACAACCCTACTAAACACCCATAAATACCATAAATGTAAAATAGATTAAGTTTAATGCCCTATTGTGTAACATTCCAGGCAAAACTTTTCCACTAGACCAAACATAAGTCAGATATTTGTGTATGCCACATTCATGCTTTCTTAGCTACCACTGAAGTCACCATTAGCAATAATATGTATATTATTTATAAAATGTAGAGGAAGGGTCTCTAACCTGTAGCTCAGGAGCTACCAGTAGCTCTCCCCCCCTTCCAAGTAGCTCGCCAAGAGATTTCTGACAGGGATTTCTTACACATTTCTACACATTGTGCTGAATAAGTAAAATGCGATGAATTAAATCCCTTTTACCATTGTAAACATATCATTTTGGTGAGAAAGAACAAAAATGTGGCTGTTTGCTGCAGGTGTTCCAGTCAGTGGGAGCAGGTAGAGGGTGCTCTTGTGAAAAAGGATCAAAGGGATCAAAACAAACTGGTCTTCATCAGGGTTGGTCGAAACATGTTGGCTTTGGCCATTTAAATAAAGGCCTTTTAACTATATTTTTCCTTGTGCGATTTTTACTTCTTCAGGCACTCCAAGTTGTTGTGTTTTAAGTATCATTTTGATGCTTAAATTTATGCACTAATAAATGGGTAATGGTTTATGTTTTATAGGAATCTAACTGTACCTTATTTAAGGCTAATTTCTTAAATAACAAATTAACTAGTAGCTCTCTGGTATTTTCGTTTTCTGAAAGCAGCTGACCAGAGGAAAAAGTTTGTAGACCCCTGATGTAGAGTATTTAAAATTCATAGGCTACCTGTCCAATCGGTTTGCAGAAATAAATACAAATACTAGTATAGTGTAATACTGTACGCATTTGTGTGGTTTAGTTCAGTGTTGACTTTCACACCATTTAAACCAAGGGCATTTCATAGCATTATTTTGCAGCCAAAGTCTGATATTCTAATTTAGGGTGACCAGATTTTCAAAATAACAAACTGTGACATTCCTGGTTTGTGGTGGTTGGTAATAATAAAATTGTGAAATGAGTGCGTAATTAAGGAAAATTGTTAGACACTCGGCACTAATGTGAGTCAGTATAGTCACATTTTCTTTGTGTTTTGGTTGTTTTTAAGCAGCTTTTTATTTTACCTAAAGAAATGACAATTTATGTCTCTCTTTACTGTTGGCAGGGATCAGATTGGTCAAAAATAGGGACACCTGGGACATTTTTTGTATAAAACTGGGACAAATCACTGGTTTTGGATAAATCTGCTGGGACAGGGGACACAGGGCTCATAACTGGGCCTGTCCCGGATAAATAGGGACATCTGGTGACCCTATTCTAATTACACAAGAATATTACAGATAAAAGTTACTTTGATTTCCATTTGAATCACCTGAAACGCGGTATTGTATTGCATTATTATTAACTTCAATACACATATTTACACGTCCCTCCTCATGACATCAGACACACGCCACTCAAACAAACAGCCACTCGCCCTTCGGCCTCGGTATGTGGGAATATTTGCTTTTCTGGAAGAGACACTGTATTTCATTTCAACATTTCTAACATTATTATCCATGACACACTTGATAATGCTTTTTTACTTATGTGTATCTGACAACTTTTAGAGTCATTAAGCAACACACATGGAGATGGAGGGGGTAGAGTGTAAAAATACCAGCCAAACTAAACTCAAGACACAAGGTAAAATCTGCTGTATTGTAGTAAAAGCTGATGCCATTAACATTCCCTGGGGGTGTGATGCTAAGTGTAGGCACTGCTCCTTTTGAGGCTTTGTTAGGTTTAAATCTGAGCTTTATTTTAACATAATCTGACCATAAAGAGCTGACCTAGTTGGAACTACAACAGTTGAGGTGAGGTGACCTTTTTGTTGAAAATCAAACACCTAAACCAAAGGACCAATGGACGCTCGTATTGATCACAGACTCCTGAAAATGAGTTACTTAAATCCATTTTATATTTTTTCGTGAGTTTTCAGACCATCGTAAAACATTTCTGACAGTGTTAAGTAATCCGTGCATTGCGTCTTCATGAAAACCCCTGAATATTCCACCATAGAGACACATATAGAACACCCCCAAGCAGAGTTGGGACCAAGTCATTGTTTTGCAAGTCTCAAGTAAGTCTCAAGTTTTTGACCTCAAGTCCAAAGTCAAAGACAGGCAAGTCCAAGTCGAGTCTCAAGTCACTGGCTCTTAAGTCCAAGTCAAGTCTAAGTCGTCTGCTTTGAGATTCAAGTCATTTCAAGTCTTTAAACCTAATTTACAAAATACAGTTTGCGAATTTTAAAATAACTTGTACTTAAAAAGTCATGATATATTTATATATGAGTAATTATATAAGTGTCCTTTTTACATGTCTTGTCAAGATCTTAGTGTGAATCATTACGGTCAGAATAGAAAGTCTTCTCTAGTCACAGGGCTCAAGTCCAAGTCAAGTCCCAAGTCTTAAGGCCTGTTTAAACGAGAATGCGCTTGCGGGTAAAAATGACAAAATATTTTATCGCAAGTGCCTTTCGTTTAGACGATGACAGCGTTTTTGGGGCTTAAAAACACAAAAATCTAAAACCACCCTCCAGAGTGGAAAAATTAATACGCTCCACCGTAGTGTTTCCGTCTACACTGCCCAAGATGCAAAACTCTGGTCAAATCTGCTCACGTCACGTATGCATTTACGTCACGTACATCACCACCTAGTGTCACCACCTAGCCGCCTGGCATGCATACCCAATCGAATTCCACACACTTTTGCGTCACTGTATGCACGCAGATTCCCTCCCGAAAATGCTCATCTAAACGCAGACTAAAAAGTGAAGAAGCGATGTCACTTTTGTGTCTTCTGTTCAGACTGTCATCATATAAAACTAGCCTTGGTCCCCACCTCTGCTCCCAAGTATCAATACTCACGATTGTCCTGTCGTTAAGCTCGCCGCGGCTGTAGGTTGAGGCGAGGATGGCGCTGCAAGGCTCAAGGTACCAGGGCCTGTTGCCATGTTCTGTGGTGCTGGAGATGGACACGGTGAAGATGCTGCTGGTGTAACCGTCACAGGAGCAGTGATCCAACTGACGACCCCCGTTACCTGATGCCCACACGAAGATGGAGCCCAGGCCCTTTCTGCCCTGGAGGGGAGAGACAGGACACTACCAGTCAAAAGTCTGGGCGCACTTTTTCATTCATGTTTCTTCTTTATTTACATTGTAGATTCTCACAGAAGGTATTAAAACTATGGACACAAATGCAATGTATAGGGTGACATCCGTGGTCTGTGGTGGTTGGTAATAATAAAATTATGAAGGAAAATTGTTCTGCAATCAGACCATTCATGACTAAAATGTGCGTCAGTATAGTCACATTTTCTTTGCATTTTGGTCATTTTTAAGCAGCTTTTATGTATTTTACCCACACAAATCACAATTTATGCCTTTTTTTACTGTGGCAGGGATCAGATTGGTAAAAAATAGGGACACCTGGGACATTTCTTGTATAAAACTAGGACAAATCAATAGTTTTGGATAAATCTGTGGGGACAGGAGACACAGGGGTCAAAGTGAGACTGTCCCAGGTAAATAGAGGTCAACCGAGAACAAAACATAAATTCTCGGAAATCCAAACTCACATTTTAGATGTAAAAAAATAGCAACCCTTTGCTTTGATCACTACTTTCTTGACACAAAGCACAGCTGTGAAGAGAAAATCATTTCAGGAGACTTCATCATGATGGACCAAAGGTTTGCAGCACTGGCAACAAGCAAAGGATGGTACTTACTTAACTTTTTTCTTTGCTATATATTACCACATATCTGGCTTCATATAGTTGACATTTTCCGTGTGTATATAAAGTGTAGAAAGTAGTAAACATAAAGAAGAACAACATTTTGGGCAATACAGCCTTCGTCTTCGCCGCCCCCTCTCTCTGGAACTCACTCCCACAATCCATCAGGAACTTAGACTCACTGCAACACTTCAAATCGTTACTAAAAACTCACCTGTTCAAGCTGGCATTCCCCCTATGTTTCCCCCATTTTCATGTCACTTTCTATTTGTTTGTAAAACGTCTTAGAGTGTCCAAAAAAGCTCTATATAAGTCAGATGTATTATTATTTTATGAGAGGGTATGTCTAAACCTTTGACTGGTGATGTACTCATGTTGAACACTTAATAGAACCTGAAATGTAAACTGTTAAACAAGCAGGAATAACATAAGTGAGAGAATATTTAGTTTGCAGAGGACATTAAAGGTGCAGTCTGTAACTTTTGTGGCAGAGTCTCCATTGAGATGTTTGTTGGATTCCACAGAAATAAATTAAATCAAAATCCTTCTTCAAATCTAACTCCATTAAGACAAGTAGGAGACTTCACCAGTTTCAGGTCATGTTTTTTCAATTTGTTTTTGAGCTGTAAAACCATCTGGAATTACTCATTTTAATGCCATATTATGAAACATTCAAAGCAAAGCAAGGCAAGGCAAGTTTATTTGTATAGCACAATTCGTACACAAAGTAATTCAAAGTGCTTTACAGAATAAGAAATACATTAAAATCATAATAAAAACAAATCAAAACATAAATAATCATGAAGATTAAAATTAAAAAAGAGGGACATAAATTGGAGAGAAGAGTGTGGAATGAAAACCTTTCAGTTATATGCACAGTTAAACAGAAATGTTTTGAGCCTGGATTTAAACAGCGTCACAGAAGAGTCTGTCTCACATGTTCAGGTTTTAGCTGCATGAACCTGAAACGCTGACTCCCCTTGTTTAGTTCTGACTCTGGGCACCAGCAGGAGGCCGGTCCCTGAGCTCCTCAGAGTGCGAGATGGTTCATATGACACTAACATGTCACAGATGTACTTTGGTGCTCGGCCATGGAGAGACTTGTACACAAGCAGAGCTGCTTTAAAGTCTCTGAGACACAGGAGCCAGTGCAGAGACCTGAGCACAGGACTTATGTGCTCGTACTTCCTAGTTCGAGTAACGACCCGAGCTGCAGCATTCTAGATGTTCTGCAGCTGTCTCACAGCTCGTTTGGAGAGACCAGTGAGCAGACCATTACAGTAGTCTAATCTACTGGAGACAAACGCATGGATAAGTTCCTCCAAGTCTGCTTTAGACAGTAAACCTTTGATTTTTGCTATGTTTTTTAGATGGTAAAAGGCTGCAGATGTTATTGATTTGATGTGGCTGTTAAAGTTCAAGTGTGAGTCCATTATTACCCCTAGATTTCTTGCCTGATTTGAAGGTTTTAATAACATAACATCCTCAAGCAGAAAAGCTGGTAGCAGACTGAGCACTAGAAAAGTTACACAGCACATCTTAAATTAAAAAAAACAACAACTCAGTATTTATTTTTCAGACTATAAATAATTTTTTTTTTCATGGTTTGGGTGGTCCTGCTACTTATATTCCAGTGCAACTTATATATTTAAATTTTCAAACTGACAACCGTGTACCACTGTCACTTCTCAGCCTACTGTGCATGTCTCCTGCAGAAAGAGCCTTTGTCCTGTCTGTATCATGTGAGTTGATTGCACCATTACTTCTGCACCACTGAAAATTTTAAATTTAAATAAACTTATGAAGACAACTGACAAGACTGAACACAAATGACCCAAAAAGAAAATCATATTTTGCAGATTATAACCAGCAAGTAGTGAAATATGCAACCGAAAACGATAATCGGGCAGCAAAAGGAAATTTTGGAATGAGCAAGAAACTTGTGACACCGGGAGGGTGCACCATGCAACTTTCCTGGAAGTCACTGAAAGCCTAGACTTCAGTGTCAACCGAAACCATCCTGCTGGGATTCAGAAAGGTCGGAATAATTCTAACTGGAACTGATGCTGAGTTTGACCACAGCTACACAGAAAAGGAAGCGGCGCTCTGTTTACCTCGCAGAATTGCTTAGAAGTGACACAGATGATGAATTCAATGGATTTAGTGATTTGGAGTGAGATGGAGAGTTTGGTAAATTTGTTCTGTTTTGTTGTTTATGTTATAGTTATCTGAAGAACTGTTCATATGTGACGTTAACAGTCTGTTATTCTCTGTTCTATTGTTATTACTATTGTTATTACTATAACTTGACTTTCAAGATGAAATGTCGGTTCCTGGTCTCTGATTTTATAAAACAAAATTCCCCCAAAAAGTGCGACTTATATATGTTTTTTTCTTCTTCATTACGCATTTTTTGGCTGATGCGACTTATACTCTGGAGTGACTTATAGTCCAAAAAAATACAGTAATCCTAAATCACTAGCATATATAAACATATGCCTGCAGTTATAGTTACCTTTTTGATCCCCTGCTCAAGGGCTTGCCTGGTCAGGGGTCCAGGTCCGTCCACAGTCCGCCCGTCGTCTTTGGGGCCCCAGCTCGAGCTGTAGATGTCAATGTAGTCAGGACGAATGCCCAGAGACTTTGCCTCCACAAGGTCAGTCACATCCCCATCCAACATACGGATACCTGTGGACAAGACACAGGGCGTTAAAACAACATCTACTCCACTTTTAGCAAATATTTGTCAACAAAAACTAACAAACAAAAGCGTAAACAACTTTGGACTAAACATAACTCAAATATTCACTTTGGGCAGAGTGGATATGCTGTGTTTTTATTGTATGCAAACCAGAAAATAAGGCTGATGCACTGTCTAGTTTTTGTAATAGTCAAACTTTACTGTGACTGTAAACTCTGCTCTGCCCTCTGCTGTGAAAAGTGCTTCTACACTCATTGTGGTGGCTTTATGAAAGTGAGAAATAAAATCTGTGTATCATTCACTCATTCTTGTTTCAAAATCGAAAACTGAAAAAACAAATCGTCCGTTTTTTCATTTTGGTTTTGGAGACCAATAATGAAGAAAACTGCTGTTTGTTTGTTTTCTTATTTTTGGTTTTATTTTGAAAAACAAATGAACAAATGATACACAGACTGAGTAAGTACTGCAAAGAGTTTAACATGAACTAGTTCTGTTTTTCATGTTTTTAAGAAGGTAAAACTCAGGTACAGAGACCGAAGCAAAAAAAAAAACAAAAAACAAAAACATACATTTTACCTCCAATGTGAGCATTAAAAGCCACTCCCACAATGCAGTGCGAGTTATTGGCAGCAGCGGCCACTTCACCAGCGCATCGGGTCCCGTGTCTAATGACAGAAAAATAACACTAGATAAATCTGTAGGCAGTTTATTTACTAAATTCAAACAGGAAAAATAATTCTTACATATTTTGATTGCGGAAGTCATAACGAGGTGTTGGATCATAATCGTTTCCGTTCACATCGTAACTTGCAAGATGGTCCTGCAAATCAAAGTTGGGAAATACTATTGCTTTTTGTTTACCATAATCATTAAAGTAATTATAATCATATTTTTATATTTTGATAATCATTATTGACAACTATCATTCATACACATTTGCAATTATTCTCTATCTAGAAGACCATAACCATAGGTAGGTGTAGGAACCTATAGTTCTGGTCAAGAGTCTCATGAGCTTTGGGTAATGACTGAAAGGACAAGATTGTGGATACGAGAGGTTGAAATAAGTTTCCTCTATAGCAGCGGTTTTCAATAGGTGGAGCCCGCCTCACCTTTGGGAAGGCAAGGAGCCACTGGGGAGGTGCAATACACGCAGACTAAACCAGGACTGATTCCAGGACTGAACCAGGAGAACTAAACCTGGACTAAACCTGGACTGAACCACGACTGAGTGTCGGGACGGGCCTGGAGGTCAGCCCGCGTAGACTGCTGGAGAAAGGACCAGCAACCATCGCTGATCGCTCTTTGAGGACACCCCTTGGGCTCGGAGTTCTCCCTCTCTCAAGTCCAAGATAAGTCCTGGTTTCGTCCTGGTTTCGTCCTGGTTTCGTCCTGGTTTCGTCCTGGTTTCGTCCTGGTTTCGACCTGGTTTCGACCTGGTTTCGACCTGGTTTCGACCTGGTTTCGACCTGGTTTCGACCTGGTTTCGACCTGGTTTAGTCCTGGTTTAGTCCTGGTTTAGTCCTGGTTTAGACCTGGTTTAGACCTGGTTTAGACCTGGTTTAGTCATGTGTCCTACTGATGTACAATGATGTTAAAAGTAGCCTCAGTTGGGCCTGCATGAAGTTGGAAATGATCGTTTATGAAGGCACTTAATAAAAAAAAAATATGAAAATACAATGTTAAAAATATATATTATCAGTTGTTTTTGAAACTCATTGCTAGGAACACAAAAGATGCATTAACTTCAGAGGTCTGTGTGGCGTAGGGCAGGCGGACGGGATTTTGGGGAAGGGAGGGGGCTCGGCTGTCTTTACCTTCTCTAAGGGGAGGCTCACATTCACCCAATTTGAAAACCCCTGTAGAGGTGAGGAAAGGCTCGGAGTCCCTGCTTAGATTCTAGTTCTAAGTTCCAGTAGGACACAAACGTACGTAATTGGGCGCCAGGTCTGGGTGGTTTCTTTCAATTCCATCATCCAAAATGGTGACCACAACATTTTTCCCAGTGTATCCTTTCTTCCACGCTCCAAGAATGTTCATTTCATTGTGACACGGGCTGCTCTTGTCGTTGCAGTGCTAAAAGAAAACATTCTGTCAGTAAAAATTATACAGTTCTGTTTGTAAATATCGACTTACAATATACCACATGCTGGACCATTTGGGGTCATTGAAGTTGAAGTTTGGGTCATTTTGAATGGATCTTTTCTCTCTGGTTTTTACTTTCTGCTGCTGGACCCACTGCACCTGAAGATGAACACAGAGGAGACAAATAACAACACATACAAGGTAATGAAAAATACAATACAATGCAACACAGTGCAATCAAATAGAATATAATAAATAAACCAAAATGAAAGAATAAAAAAATAATAATAATAAATAAACCAACAAAAAACTTCCATTAACAACCAAAACCAAAATACTACTTTACTCAACTTTAACCTAAACCTTGACTTAGAGCCTCACATTGTAACTTTTTAGGCAAAACTACACCAAAAATAAAAGCGTTGGTGTATTCATTTTGGGCTTTTATTGTGCTGAAGAATTCCTAACACTGAGCGGGCTTGCATCTCCACAGATATGACTCTTATTTGGCCCGTAGGAGGGCAAACACCTGCTTATCACTATGGAAATGTTGATCCACAGTATGCCATAAAACTTATATATTTCCATGGGGAATGTTTTAACTTTCCAGCTCTGTGGAATCAGGCCACCTCCAGAATGTTCCACAGTGTTGCTTTATGATGTACACAGTTACTGAATTTGCTGTTACCTGAGGATCCATGTGTATGAAGCTGTGTGTCCCTCTGAAGGGGAAGGCAGCTCTCCGGACGACTCTGCTGTGGTGGAAGTGATAGTGGTCCTCCAGACTTCCTATCTGACCAAAAACGGAACACAGTTTAAGTTAATACATGAGATTCATTCATTCATATTGTGTAGATTATTCTGGATTAGGGTCCCATAGGCTCAGAGTGGCCCATTGCTCTGGACTGGTTTCATCAGTGACATAAAAAGATGGATCCAATGCAGGCAAAGCAAGTTTATTTGTATAGCACAATTCGTGCACAAAGTAATTCAAAGTGCTTTACAGAAAAAGAAAAGCATTAAATTCACAATACATTAAAATCAAAACATACCATAACATTAAAAAGAGAGAAGAGTCTGGAATGAAAAATTAAAACCTTTCAGTCATATGCAGCTAAACAGAACCGTTTTGAGTCTGGATTCAGAGTCAAAGTAGAGGCCTGTCTCACATGTTCAGGAAGACTGTTCCAGGTTTTAGCTGCGTGAATCTGAAACTCTCACTTCCGTGTTTAGTCCTAACTCTGGGTACCAGCAGGAGACCAGGCCCTGAGCTCCTCAGAGTGCGATCTAACATGTCAGAGGTGTACTTTGGTGCTTTCGATACTAAGGAAAAGGATGAATATTCAATATCGATTCTGTTACCATGATGATAATAAAAACATTGTTTAATTAGACGATATGTAATTTTCAACATTAAATAATAGTACTTTCTTTTATATTACCAAGTGGCCTTATGTCAACAAAAATAAACCCTGAAAAACAACAGTTTTCTTCATTATTTGTCTCCAAAATCAAAATCAAAATGAAAAAAAAAAAAACAACCAAAAAAAAAAAAAAAAAACAGATAACGATGTTTTTATCAGTTTTCGATTTTGCGTTTAAATGAATAATGAAAAAACGGATAACGCCCGTTTCCCGTTTCCATGAATTAAACTGCTCCGCATAGAGACTGAACCAGGACTAAAACGGGACTAAATCAGGACTAAACCATTTTCAGTCCCGATCTGGTCCCGGTCTCAGTCCCGGTCTCAGTCCCGGTCTCAGTCCCGGTCTCAGTCCCGGTCTCAGTCCCGGTCTCAGTCCCGGTCTCAGTCCCGGTCTCAGTCCCGAACAGCATCGCAGTTTAATTCATGGAAACGGGAAACAGTTGTTATCAGTTTTTTCCATTATTCATTTAAACACAACATCGAAAACTGAAAAAATGAATTGTTATCTGTTTTTTCATTTTGGTTTTGGAGACAGATAATGAAGAAAATAGTTGTTTTTTTCATTTTCTTATTTTTTATTGAAAAACTAATAAACGAATGATATGCAGATTATTTCTGTCCTGTGAATGTGACTTCTTTAGTATCAATACTTGTTCAAATTAGTATCTAAATGATTTTCGATACTTTAGAGCAGCTGACAAAGAACACGTGTCTGGTATTGATCATAACACCACTCTCTTACTACTGACCCTCACATCTCACCCACCAAAGCCTTTTCAGTGTAAATGATGTAACTGAGTCAACATTTTCTCTGAGTTTGAACCAAGAATTCAAGCAGGAATTTTGAAACAGCTGACAACAATATTCACCCAACGTGTGCTGGCTCCAACCACAGCTCAGAAATCCTTTTGTTCTGTTCTGCTCTTCTGACATACAATAGTTAATAAAATATGTAGACAAATGTATGTTACAAGGAAATATTGGAATTTTATAACAGGCATTCAGCTCATATCCATGGATTTCATATTGACTTTTGCCATGACTAATAATCTATGGATATATGGTCATTGCTCTGCTTAGAATGTTCCACAATATGGCATTAAACAGCTCTACCTTATATTATTCAATTACAGATGGTTTTATAGCTCAGAAATACCCAGAAAAAACAGGGATTCTGACATGTCTCTCCACAGATCTGACCTGTAACTTACTGTAGTTTGGTTTAGTCTCAGTGACCAATGAAAGGTTTAATGCCATACTGTGAAACATTCCAGACAAAGCAACAACATCTCCACGGGAAAAAGCATTTGATGGACCCCAGAAAAGTTACACAGTGCACCTTTATAATAAAATATTAGGTTATATCTTTTGAATGGGATAAAGGATTTAAAATGTTGTATACAGCAGGATGCAGAATATACAGTGAAAATGCTATAGGCCTACTTATACTAGTCCTACTACTTTCTACTACTTATATCACAGTGTAGTACTTTATTTAATAACTGTCACTGCTGGTTATTAAATAGGCTAAAGGAATTCATAGGTGTCGCCTCTATTAATAAATATAGGCTTCCAAAGCATTAAAATGAACAAGCTTTTCTGTGTATTTGAATGTTTTTGGAGGAAAAACAAATGTTTACACAGGGTTATTTATGGGAATTAATGGATGGAGTCTAGCACCTTTGGTATTGCACTCAACATCAAAACTACACAGTAACTATGCCGGGCTGGGTATCATTAGAAGATTAGGTTAGGTTAGGTTGCTTTATTCGTACCTGTAGGTAAATTTGTTTTGCTGATTTGAGAGGCTGGTCCCACATTTCACATTTCATTCATCCACATTATGTACAATAAACGCATGGAAAAAAACAATCACAAAATAAAGTGTTACAGTCCTCCAGTGCAGAATGGTTTGTTTCATAAACAATAAGTTAAAGACATTCATCACGTTTGACTAAAAACACAATAAATATTAAATATATTAAAAAACACACAATATTTCTAAAGTTGCTGATACGATACATACCTCGATACACAAGCCACGATACGATACATACCTCAAAACGATGATCTTACGATTCGATATGATTCAATATTCGATGTATTTCAAACATTATTTCAAATATAATTCGATATGGTTCAGAAAAAAATAAAGGCTAAATCATGGCTGTGTGTTAAACCACTTCTTGTGCAAAGTGAATATGAAACACGCACATTTTAATCAACAGTGAAAATGTCAAATGTGTTGCATAACTGTAGGACTGTAACGAAATAATTTAGTGAAATATACCAAAAATACTCTTGGGAGATGTATCAGTACAGCAGCACACGATACTGATACTGTATCATTACATTAAACAATATGATATATCGATATTTCAATATTTTTGCACATTCCTATACGTAGTGTTTCAATGTTCTGAAGGTATTACACAAAAATGACTTGTGAGCTTTAAGCCGTGTTAAAATGTTGTTACCTCCTCAAAAACAGACCTGGAGTTGTGTTTTGTTTCATTCACACATGTTTGAGTAACCCTTTATTATTAATTTGTTTAGCTCTCAAAGCTCAGCGTGCTCTTTTCCACCTTGTGATGTCATGAAGTGGTAGTTTTCAAGTAAACAGCTACTTTTTACCTTTTGTTCAGTAGAGATTGGCTGTTCCTGGGGTGAAATTATCCATATGATTCTAGTGAAGGCGTATCCAGTTTTAAAACACAGTGGAGCATTTCCTGTATCACCACATGACATCACAAGGTGGAGCAGAGTGTTTTCAGTTAGAGAGAAAAACCCAACAGCCTAAACATGCAGGATTTTTGTGTTAAACATGTGTGAATGAAACAAAACACAACTCCAGGTCTGTTTGTTGTGAGTAAATTTTGTTATTGCATTAAAATTTACCGTAGAACATGAACGTGACTTTGCCTTGATCTACCACTTTTCAATAGCTCAAGTTGTCAAAGTTTAACAGCCAAATTTGATAATAATTTAACAAAATCTTTGAGTTCAGACACCGACCTGACCGAGGTTCCTGTATCCATATTTGGCTGCCACTCGGTCCGCCTCGAGGTGCCCACCTGTGACCCGCACTGCCCAGTGGTTCGTGAACACGTCTCGACCGTGGACCCAAAATTCACCCAAATAAATTACCAGCAAAACGAAACACAACCCACGGGCCATCCTGGTGCAAAAGATCGACATTTGACATAAAAATGCAGACAGTAAAAGCAGTACGCATGGTTAGAATAATAAAGCCATCCTCGAGGCGAAGAGGGAATAAAAATTACGACGTGAACGCGCAGAGCTGCTGTCGACTGGTGCGCGCTGGATGGGGAGGATGGTTGCCAGTTTGAGTGCGCGATTTTCAGCACTTTGCAAAATGACAAATTCTCAGAAATTAGTTGTGAAAATAAGGTGAGCAGATTTTCAGAATAAATAAACTGGGACACCTCGGTTTGTGGTGATAATAATAAAATAAAACTATAATAAAATTGTGAAACGAGGGCACAATTAAGGAAAATCGTTTTGCACTTGGCCCATTCAACATGTGAGTCAATGTAGTTATATTTTCTTTGTGTTTTGGTCCTTTTTACGCAGCTTTTGTCTATTTTACCTAAACAAATGACAGTTCAAGCCTCTCTTTACTGTTTGCAGGGATCAGATTGGTCAAAAATAGAGACACCTGGGACATTTCTTGTATAAAACTGGGACAAATCACTGCTTTTGGATAAGTCTGGGGACACAGGGCTCAAAACTGGGACTATAAACAGGGACGTCTGGTCACCCTATGTAAAAATAAATGGGCAAAAGACATTTCTTGGTATGCTATGTTATTTTAAACTGGTAGTCTACCAATTTCCATCCAGTTAAAGTTGTGGTTAAAGCTCCTACATTACACAAAATTAAATCTTGCCATGTTATAATGCTGTTACCTCCTCAAAAACATAGTATCTGGAGTTGTGTTTTCTTCTTATTTGACTAATCCTTCATTATTATTAATTATTATTAATATTATTCTGTCTACATCTACGAAGCTCAAAATACTGATGTCATGAAGTTGTAGTTTTCATGTCAATAGCTATACCTTTTACCTTTTGTTCAGTAAAGATAGGGATTTCCAAGACTGAAAACATCCTAATGATTCTAGTAAAAGTTTTTTAAAAAGCAGTGCAGCACTTCCTGTATTACTACATGACATTACAAGGTGGAACACATTTTTTTTTAGCTTTGGCAATGTAGACAGACAATAATTAAAAGGTTTCTCAAGTGTGAATGAAACAAAACGACTCCAGGCCTGTTTTTGACGAGGAAACAACTGAAAATATGTGTAATATGGGCACTTTAAAGTAAATTGTATTCACATAAACTAGGTTAATTAATATAATAAACTGCTCAAAAAGAATTATTATTATTATTCTGAACAAAGATACAACTCAATAATCAATATCAAAAAGCAGAAAGACGACAACGTCTGTTTTATTTATTTATATGCAATAAAAAGAAACTAGTTACAAAAAGTTAGCAGCACATATTTTTAACTCTTTATGCTTAATTACACTTGAAGCTCTTGTTCACATCGGCACAGAGGGGGTAATAATCTCTTGCATTGTTTTGTCTATTGTCTACTGTAGCCTAATCTAATGTCCAAAAACTCATAACTTAAAAAATAAAATGCTGCCTTTACTCCATCACAACAGCATTCATAAATTCATAAACTGCACCCTCTTCATTCTGTCTTTTCTTTATTTTACAAAAGTGATAATAAATGACAACAATGCCGATTATTAAAAATCCAGTGACTGTGGCGATGATTCTGACTGAGCAAACGCTGAGGTCAGACGCAGATACAGAAGACACTGAAGCTATTGGGAAAAAGAGAAAAGATTTGATTGTGTGTATAAAAGATAAAACAAATTGTAACTGCAATTTCTTCATATTAAAAGAATCACGGTCTTTGCAATTGAATTTACATTTTTGCCGAGCAACAAAAATGATGCATTTTAGAGCCGTTAGTGTAACATTAACTCTTGACTTTAAAAGTGTATATATATATATATATATATATATATATATATATATCATACTTATTTTTACCTACCTGGTTTAACAGACAGAGTGATGTTACAGGTGTCAATGTCAAACACGCTGGACATTAGATTTCTGGAGGTGCAGATGTAGAGTCCAGACATGTCTTTGGTGATGTTGTTTAAAAACAGGAACCGTCCATCTGTAAGACAATTGATTGAATTTGTTGACCATACTAGTATTTTTTCTTAAGGAGAAATCAACTAAAGAGCAATTTTACTATAAGATCAAAGCATTCATAATCTGTTTTAGCACTGACTTGGAGCTCTGTAATATGTTTGTAGAATGAACTTAACATTTACACCTGTCTCTTTGTTACTCACTGCGTGTCTTGTTTTGTTTTGCTCTGTTTTGATCCAGGGCATCTGGACTCTTCCAGGAGTAAACAGCCGGAGGAAAGCTTTCCTCTGAGTCACAGCTCAAAGTCAGGCTCTGGCCCTGCTCTACTTTACCCTCCACCTCACACACTGGAGGAGAGGGAGGACCTGGGGGCAAGAACAGACTTAAACTCAGCAAACTTTAAAGTGGAACTAAACATTAAATCAACCTTTTTTGATACTAAACGGTGTATATGTGGTGGTGGTATCTGGTGACATCACACATGACTGCCCTGTTTACAGTCAGGTTTTTAGAAACACCTGACTGCAGGGGTGGAGTCTGAAGTGTGGATACCTGTCACACTTTTCCTTATACTCCCAAACCAGCCCCTACTCCACCTCAGGCTTCGTTTACACATAGTCGGGTATTTTGAGAAACAAATATTTCCTCCCTCCGTTTTCCAAAACATCATCATCATTCACACAGCATTGTTTTCAAAAAAGTTTTCGTTTACATCAGCCTGCATGAATACGCCATTGAGCGCCATCATAACTTCGCCAAGCCTCTGGGCAGCACCTGGATTAGATTTAAACCTGTAACATTTATTTCATTACAGCTGTAAGTATTACTCAAAAATACCTTGAACGTATATGATTGAGTGGGCTTGCCTCTCCACAGATCTGTTAAAGAAGTGGCAAAATTGCTGACCTCTAAGCCTCATTCGTCCCTGCATGGAAATGATCCATCAGCTGTGCAAATGCAAACACGTGAAAAGTGTTTGCACCAGAAGAAATGCGACTGCTGCTCTGAAATCTCCATGATCATTATCAGAGGAAACGGGAAATGTTGGTTGCACTTTCATCACGTCAGCTCCTAAAACTCCATTTATCTCACTTTACACGCAAACACCAGACTGTAGTTTTCAGAATCTCCACTCTAGCTGGTGTTTTTCGAAAGATTTGTTTTCAGGGGCGAATTTGCTGTTTTCGTGTAAAAGATGGGTACAAACAATGGGTACAAAATCTCCGTGTACGTGTAAACGCGGCCTCCAGTCCACAGGTACTGCCCAGTTTAGCAGCTCTGTATGAACTGTGGTCTTGAGTGGAGTAAAGGTATAACTTTTCAGGTGCAGTATCCACCACCTGGATGTCTACATTGCTTTGCTTATTCTTGATATTCCTGGAATGTTCTACAGTATGGCATTAAACTAGATTTTTAAAAATAATGGCAATATCTTGATAAACATGCATACTACTATGAGCAGTGCCATTAGTTTAGCAGTGAGCCATAGTGTGGAGCATTCAGGAAATCCACTTGTATCTTCATGTAAATAACAATAAAATAATAATAATTTGCCTTCAATGGAGGAAAATAAATTATTACATTGCAATTCCATGTTTTTTAAAAGAAAAAAAAACATTAGAACATGATAAACAGCTCATATTTGGCCCTTTCATACTGTAAATGATGAGCTGTGTCACAGCCTCCAGGATTTCCCTCGTCATCTTCCGGAATTTGGACTCGACACATCAAAAATACGTTGTCTCTCACGGTGACGTTTAAGAGTTTAAACTCTGCAACTTCTGATCTGGTCATCTCCACGGAAACACGGCCCTCGTATTCAAGCTGGTAGATTTTCGTTTCGGGTTCAGGGATCAAATAGTGACCGAGAATTGGGGTGTTCTGCAAATAGAGAGAGAATAAAAACAATTCAGATTATTGCACCAACGATAATAGGGCTATCTGTACTTTGCATCAACATTCCCTGGTGATGTGACGCTAACTGTAGGCTCTGCTCTGTCTGAAGCTCTGTTACTCATGTTAGACTTTAATCTGAGCTTTTTGTTTTAACACAATCTGACCAGAAAGAGCGGACTTAGTTGGAGGTCTAACAAGTTGAGCTGATTTGTGCTCTTAAACGTGTCTTTTACACATAAAATTACAAGATAGTCACTCACTTTACTTTTTTGTCACAGGCTCCTGAAAATGAGTTGTTTAAATGACTACACTTCCCTCTTGTGTTTGCTAATAGTAATGCATTTATCTTGTGTATTGCATTTGGACACTACAGTCAAAATGAGAAAAAAGTCTTGCCTAAGGAAGTCACCTAGTACAGAAAATATCAATGTATGCTGGTCTATTTCAGTATACAGGAAAATATCTTAAAGCCTGTAAGTTTTCAGTTAAAGTTCAGTTTATTTTTGGTTTATTACACCCCAAAACTTTGGAAAACACCTATTTACAGCTCAGAGACTCTGCCATTGAGAACTGCTGCCACTGAAGATGTAGTTTTCCAGACTCACCTCACAGCAGGAGGGTTTGCAGGTCGTTTTGGTGCTGCCCGGGGCTCTCTCCAGAAACCTCATCCGATTATTATAAGGAGAGCATTCAGGTCCATATGAAAACCACTGGGATGGCACAAAGTGATTTTACAAAGATATTCCAGGCAACACAATACATTCTCTATGGAAATCAGCAAATGGTTGATCCAAAGTCACAAAAGTTCCGTATAGTGGCAAGTGTAAACCCTAATATGTACGATTTGGGACAATGCACAACAGTATAGCAAAGTGTCTTGCTCAAGGACACACTGGCATAATACATTACATAGTGAATTTGAACAGCAGACTTTACAGGTTTCTTTCATCTTAGATTCTAATCTGATTGATCAGCCGGTTTCACTTCGTGGAAACCGTCTGGCCTCGCAGCATTAGAATTCGTTCGCTCGACAATCGGTGGGAACTTTTTTATTTAACCATTCGCTGCTATTTGGTCGTGAAGTATATAATGCGCCGCTGGTATATTAAGCTTTTCCCAAATCCCGTAGGAAGAAGGACAATAACGTCTTTCCCCTTGATAAAATTCACCAAACTTTCACTTTGTTCTGGCTTTAAATCCTCGATCTCACAACACAGAATGTCTGTCTTCATCTACATCCATCTCGACCACTTTGTTTACTGTTGTGCTGTACCACAAATGGGACCCAGACAGACGCTTGAGTTTGACGTCATGACTTCACAGCGCTTTGCTCATTGGCCAGGGCACATTCTACAACTTCTGGGGTTCTTGCAAACTGTCTAGTGTATTCTGATTCCTGACCTAGTCGCTGGAGAGAAACGAAATAGAGAGGAGGCAGTAGGTGGCGCTAGTCTGGCTGCTTAGCTACTGGACGCTTCAAAAACTATAGATTAATTAAATGGATTTGATACCAACCTCTGAGTTCTTAAACCTGAGGACTGACCATGTGATGATGACCAGAGAAGGGAGAAGGATTTTACTCCTGAACTGACAAGGGATTGTGATGTTGTCCCCTTTGTGATACTGATATTGCTTTTGGGGGATGATCACATTTATGCCACCAACACCTGAAATAATAACACAAATAAAACAATAAAACACAATACATTTACAGTAATAAAACAATTCAAAAGAAAATGTGTTAAATGTTAAATTAAACACACAGGTTTTGAGTTTGGTTGTAAATTAGTTGAAAGCTTCTTTGATCTCAAAAGGTAAAAAGGTTTCAGAGCAAAGTACAAATAAGACTTTTTGCGATTGTGAATACTGTAATAGCAACATTTTTATGTTTACTTTGCCAGCATGCCCCACAGTTTTCTCTCTTGCATTCATTCAGTTACAAGTGTTTTAATAGCTCAAAAATATCTTGAAAAATATGCATTCTTAATGTGAGTGGGCTCGCCTCTCTACACGCCTGACCTGTGATTTAAATCTGTGTATCATTCGTTCATTCGTTTTTCAAAATAAAACCAAAAATAAGAAACAAAAAAACAGTTTTCTTCATCATTTGTCAATAATAATAATAATAATAATAATAATAATAATAATAATAATAAAGGATAACGATTTGTTTTTTCAGTTTTTTTATTTTGTATTTAAATGAATATTGGAAAAAACGGATAATGGCCGTTTCCTGTTTCCATGACTTAAACTGCAGTGCTGGACTGAATCAGGATTGAACCAGGTCTAAACCAGGACTAAACCAGAACTGAACCAGAACTAAACCAGTCTCAGTCCTGGTCTCAGTCCCAGTCTGGTCCTGGTCTGGTCCCGGTCTGGTCCTGGTCTCAGTCCCAGTCTAAGTTCTAGTCTCAGTCCTTATCTTGTCCTGGTCTGGTCCCAGTCTCAGTTCTGGTCTAGTCCTGGTCTAAGTCCCGGTCTCAGTCCCTGTCTCAGTCCTGATCTTGTTCTGGTCTGGTCCCAGTCTCAGTTCTGGTTCCGGTCTAAGTCACGGTCTCAGTCGCTGTCTTAGTCCTGGTCTTGTCTCGGTCTGGTCCCGGTCTCAGTTCTGGTCTGGTCCTGGTCTAAGTCCCGGTCTCAGTCCCTGTCTCAGTCCTGGTCTGGTCTTGATCTGGTCCCAATCAGAGTCCTGGTCTCAGATCCTGTCTTAGTCCCGGTCTGGTCCTGTTCTGAGTCCTGATCACCCGACAGACCTGATCACCCGACACAGCTGGTTCAGTCCTGGTTTAGACTTAGTTTAGTCCTGGTTTAGACCTGGTTTAGTCCTGGTTCAGTTCTAAAAGAATGAAAGAATGATACATGGATCGATTTATCCTTCTGGCATCACCTGCTTGTCTCCATAACCAAAACCATATTGTGTAAAATTCCAGACTAAGCAATAACATCTTCATGGACACAAGCAGATGGCAAACCTCCAGAACCACCAGAAAAGTACTGAAGTGCATGTTTTAAACAAAAATACCCACATAAACAAAAGCAATATAGGGTTCATCTGTATTGAAATATCTGTATATATTATTTACACTGTCATTCTGGTAACTCAATATTTTCTACTTCAAATATCAAAGTATCCTAAAGTGCCCAGTTTGCTATCGCTTTAAAGGTGCACTATGTAACTTTTTCGTTGGTGGTCCGTTGCCTGCTTGTTTCTATGGATATGTCGTTGCTCTGCCTGGAATGTTCCACAGTATGACATTAAACAGCTCAACCTTACTTTTTTTTTGCTATTACAGGTGGCTTTATAGTTCAAAAATACCTAGAAAAACAAGCATTCTGACTCTACCAAGAAACATTCCAGACAAAACAATAGCATCTCCACGAAGAAAAGCATTTGAAAAGTTACTCAACGCACCTTTAACTCTAAAATCTCTTCTATCTTACTCATGACTTGTTATATTTGTTAAACACAAATGAATAAACTCACCACAAATCACTGAAGTTAATATATAAATGCTCCGGAGTTCCATCGCCTTAATATTTCTCCATCAATGTCAGTGTACAAAAGCAGAAATGTTACAACCAATACATTTTATAAAAGGGAAGTCCTCTGCAGCTGCCTAAACCCTGACCACTGAAATCAAAACAGATTCAGTTCTTCATGTGGCCTACAGTGTATTATTAGTATTAGTAGTTTTAGCCTCGCCTGGAATATCCCACAGTATGGCATTAAGTTGGGCTATTTTAATGCAGAAGACAATGGATGGATGATGAAGTTCTTATAGCTCAAAAATACCTTCAAATACGTGCGTTCTTACTGTGAGCAGAGTCGCCACTCCACAGATCTGACCAGTAACTTGGCCTGGTTAGGTCACCTGCTCGTCTCGTTGAAGACAGATTTAAATTTAATGCCATACTGTGAAACATTCTTCACAATGGCGAGGAGAAAATTCAGTTTGTCGACTGGACAAAAGTTTGTTTGTTTGAAGACGTTTTGCAGCTCATCCAAGCTGCTTCTTCAGTTCTGAACTGAATACTGATACCATCTATCTCCTATTTACAACTCCATCCTCAAACCTAAATTAAAACAAGCAAGAGAAAAATAGGGGCAGCTGGGCAGGTCCAGAGGTGTGAAAGCACCCATTATGGCCCTGAATGATTCTGCTAATAAGACCCCACACTCAGTGCAAGTTCAATAGGTCTAACTAACAGAAACTGTAAACAAGTAGATGTGTTAGTTTCAGAGTAGTTTCAATGTAGTTAGCTCCTTTCCTTCAGGCAGATATAAGGAAGTGTCCACCAGCGTCTGACCAGAACTGAAGAACCAGCTTGTATGAGCTGCAAAACGTATTTGACCGAATAAACTTTTGTGATGAAAAAAAAAAAATATCATCAACCTCTAGTTACATATAGTTATTATTGTTTATTATTGTTTGCTATTGCAGCTATTAATATTCTACTGCTTTTACAACATCCAAAAACTGTTAGTACTAGCTCAATTTTACAGTAACACTGCCCTCAAGTGGTCAGAGTTCAAAAAGCATCTCTTCTACACATTTTACTGTACAATATAATTTTATTGCTTTCAAAGTGTTTTTACAAATGACAAAGAGTTGTATAATTCATTTTAACTATATTATCTGTGGTAACATCTGTCCAATTTATTATAACAGTGTAAAAGGGAAGAGAAATTCAGGTGCTTTCCATTGTGCTATTTACAACACAATCGACCTGGCCACAAGTCAATCAAACCCCAAAGCCCTTAAAATAACAAAAATCTATCACAAAACATGAAATTGCATATTTAAATTTAAAGCTAATATCTTTGTACAACCATATAAAAACATTGCAATAGTCTTATATTGTGCGCATATGCCAAATAGTCACAAGATATTTTTATAAAACAATAAACAAAGTATATTTCATGATATTTCATACAGACAGATGGAAAATTGTTCGATGATGTTTCTTAAAAATGCCTTAACTTACAGCTACAACTAATGCAAAGCTGGTACAATCTTCCTGGTTAACAATATAGTACAAGTAAAAAGTGGAAACTGAATAAAACAATAAGCTTTTTAGTATCAGGATAACCTGATGTCCAGGTAGGCCACACATTTCATTGGCGTCCTGATGATAGCCTGATCTAAATTACTCTCTGTGTACAAAGAGTAAAGTCACAGTTAATCCTCTCTGTCGCCATCACCGTGTTGTTTTTCTGATGAGACATAACCTCAGTCGGTAGTGTAACACTTTTTCCTTTGAGGCAGAATCACACATTGGGCTGGAGTTAAATGACTAAAGTTCGTCTTACACAGAGTTAACTGGAGCTTTGCAGTGGTTGGTCTTAGTCATCATCATAGTCTCGTCTCGGAGGTTTGTTTGCAGGCGGTGCGGGTCTGTCGTCATACTCCCTGTCGTCATAGCGACGGTCTCGGCTGTCATAGCGACGGTCATCATCATAGCGGTTGTCTCGGCGGTCGTCATCATAGCGGCGGTCTCTGCGGTCATCGGTGCGGTCAGTGTAGTCGCTGCGCCGATCATCGTAGTCGCTACGACGATCACTGAAGTCGCTACGGCGATCATCATAATCAGTGCGTCTCTCAGTGTAGTCACTACGGCGATCATCATAGTCGCTACGGGGGTCGTCATAGTCACGACGCTCCCTGGTGTCTCTCTCGGTGCGGGCGTCACCTTGAGGTGCACGCCGCTCGCCGTTCTCAGCGGGCTCATTGTCTCTGTACTCCTTCACCCTGATGGTCACATATGGAGATAAAATGAGAACATAACATGTAAACATAATATTGTAATACAGGTCAGAGCTCTAGAGTCACTGTGATTCTGTGCGTTTATAAACATTGCAGGATCTGTGTCTACTTAAAAAAGCCCAAAAACCCATCTCTTTAAAACCAGCTTTCATGAACTTTACGTTTTAGTTTCTTCTGGTCATCCTATGGTCATCATCATGGTTGTTTGTCTCTCAGTGTAAAACGTGTTTGAGTATCTTGAAAAGCACTATAAAAATGTTATGTATTATTATTATTACCCCATGGTGTACTCTTCATCCTGGCCCTTCTTCTTGCAGCAGCAGCAGTAGATGACAATGATGAAGATGATGAGCGCAGCCACCACTGCAGCGATGATCCCAGCGGTCTGCCCCACAGAGCCCAACATGGAGGCTGAACCATCACAGAGACAATCTGTTAGTCCCATTCACACTCACATTACAGGTGCACTGCAGAACTTTTCCGGTGTAGGGTCCACTACCTACTTGTCTCCATGGAAACCTCCACCAGAAAAGTTGCACAGTGCACCTTTAATATACACGTGGAATACACAATGGAAACAAGGAAGGAGAGGTGTTTTGCCCAAGTACACAATGGCAGAATATTTGGAAGTAGAGAGACAGAGAGAGAAGGTTGACCCTTTCTTCTGTGCTACTGCTGCATCCATTACCTACAGTGGCTAATTAACTGCAAATACTAAATCGGATAAAAGCTGCACTATGTAACGTTTCATGTGTGGCACCTGTTTGTCTCCATGGAAATGTCATTGCCTCACCACAGATCTAACCTATAACTTTGCATATTGGCTCCACATTTCTTTACTCCAGGCCGGTCGTCTAGAAGTGATACTTAGAAATATACAGGCTTTGGACTCCCTGTGGTTAGACTGACAACTTCTTTTCTTCTGCTGAAAACACTGTGTACATGTAGAGAACATTTACATGCTGTGCAAAAGTAGAGGCGAATGAGCAGAGTATAGCAGATAAATCGTTTGAAAGCCTGAGAATTGTCTTCATTATGTTCTTTTGCACGTTTGTTGTGAACACAATGTACTTAAAAACTACAGAAGTCCTGTTTTTACCTGTGACACGACAATTCAGGCAAAATGCAAACAAAGCATTATTGAGTGCTCGGAAAAGATGAGTTTGGATTACAATATAACATGGCTCAAAACTCAATTTTGCGTTTTTGTGTTCTTTAATCCTTTATCTTATAAAATATGACAATTATAGATCTGAATTTCACTAAATATATTGTGAGGTTAATACAAAATAATACTGTGTAATAGATTATTTCAATTAGACAACTTCACTGCCGTCTTTGGTTCGCTTTGGATCCAAAACACACAATTCTTTCTTTAATACTTCACAAAGATGTGGGTCTGGTACTGGTACATGTCTCCAACTTCAGATGGGCGTTATTGCAGCGTGCAGACTCATTTAATATATTAGTCTGGGTCATTAGGTTAGATTTTGGACATTTTAAATATTGATCTAAAACAACTTACAAAAAACCCCAAAAAACATTGAAAGCATGAGACTTCCGGATCCCGACGCAAAACAGTGCAGCGCGGGACACATTTTGAAAGCTCATTGGGGGCGCTGGCGAGAGCGAGACCGCACAAATGGGCGGGTGGGATGATGAACTGTTTTCCCACAAAGTAAACATGAGTGTAAAGTAAAATATAGAAATAATGAATGTTTGCCTATCATGCATAATTTGTGCTGGATATTTTATTTGGCCTTAATAAAAACATTTTAAGCAGCCTAGTGTGTGGGACAAAATATCGCAGATGCGGGCAAGAGCAGGACTCAAAACTACAATTCTTCACGGGAACGGGCAGGAGCGGGACTGCACAGTGCGGGTGTGGACTGAAAATTCAGTCCCGCGCAGACCTCTATTTCAAAAATGTGTCCATAAACATTACCACAACAAAGAGCTGAGCAGTTGTCAGGCCCTCCTATGGATAGCAGCAGATTTCTTTTTTCATTTGTGCCAAAATAATACGCAATGCCGCTGAATCCAACATGTGTCACAGATTAAGAAAATAAAACTGGAGAACAAAGTAAGTACAGAGCAGTGGGCGTGTACCGGTGGCAATGACGTCTTGAATCTCAGAGTACAAAACTTACTCAAACACGCATGAACGACTCTAAATACAACTTGTGAGTGAGTATATGAGAAGGGAACATAATCACAACACGGTTAAAGCTCTATACAGGACAGTTAATTTTGCATGTTAAGACTCCTTTCAGAATCGCTGTGTTACATAATCGTGAGCTATAGTTCCTTACGGGGCATGACGGCGAGCGTGAGGTTACAGGTGGCAGAGCGGATCTTGTTGGCAGAAGTGCAGATGTAGTATCCAGACGTGTCTTTGGAAATGTTGTACAGGGACAGGATTCCTCCCTCTGAAATACACACACGGAGCATAATTAGTACATCACAACAGTCTATAGTCCCATAATATTTCATACAGTTGAGGGCAGCTAGTTTCACAATATGGCATCAAAACTTTCTATCATCATGGAGACCAAACCAGACCAAGTTAAAGGTCAGATCTGTGGAAACATAACCCCGCTCAGAGTCAGAATACTTGTTTTTCTTGATATTTTTGAGCTATAAAACCACCTGTAATTGAATAAATATAAAGTAGAGCTGTTTGATGTAATATTTTGGAACATTATGAGAAACAAGAAGGTGATGGACCTCCAAACAAAAAGTTACACAATCCACCTTTAAAATGTGAAGTTATGTTCAACATTTGTGAATTTTCCTTTTGGATATTTCATGGCAAACTACACTGCAAACAATAGGGAAAACTCTTGGCTCCAATCTGGAAGTGTGCCGGCCATCAGTTCGTGACTTCAAGCTGAAGCAAACTTTGTTTCTGTAGCAGGACAATGATCGAATGCACACCAGCAAGTCCACTTCTTAATGCCTTAAAAAAACAAAATTAGGTTTTTGGAGAGGCCTAGTTAAAGTCCAGACCTGAACCCAATTAAACCTTAAACCTTAAAAGGCAGTTCATGCTCGAAAACCCTCCAATGTGGCTGATTTAAAACAATTCTGCAAAGAACAATGGGCCATAATTCCTCATTTCCAGTTATCGCAAATGCTTGACTGCAGTTGTTCCTGCTAAGGGTGGTTCAACCAGTTATTAGGTCTAGGGGGCAATTACTTTTTCACATGGGCTATGCAGGTTCAGAAGGCTTTTTCCCCTTAATACATAAAATCTGCACTTAAAATTGCATTTTGTGTTTACTTTTGAGTTATCTTTGTCTAATATTTAAGTTTGCTTGATCTGAAAGGGCTACGAGTGACAAAGGTGCAAAAAAACTAAGAAATTGATAAGGGGGCAAATTCTTTTTAACAGCACTGTACATCTCCAAAACTCAAAATGTTCTGCTCCTCCTTGTGATGTCATGTACTGGTAGTTTAAGTTAACAGCTACCTTTTATCTTTTGTACAGAACAGACTGGCAATTCTAGGACTGAAATTACCCAGACGGTTTTAGTGAAGGTTTAAAACCACACTGGAGCACTTCCTTTATTCCCACATGATATCACAAGGTGGAACAGAGTGGTTTTGGTTTGAGAGGAGAGCCTAAATATGCAGTATTTGTGTGAATTAAACAAAACACAACTCTGGGTCTGTTTTTGATGAGGAAACAATAATACACATCAGAAAATCACATAATATGGGCCTTTAAACTAAACTGAGCGATATTTGACAATCACACAAGTTGAAACCAAGGCTGTAGCTCTTCAACTTACTGTCTGTTGTCCTTGGTTCATTCATTTTGGGGATGTTTTCGACAGACCTGCGGTCCCATTTGTAGGTGGGGGGTGGGGAGCCCTCCTCTGAGCGACAGGTAAGGTTTATGTTCTGGCCGTACTCTGCTTTACCCTCGACTTTACAGATGGGAGGAGATGGAGCCACTGCGGAAAAAAAAATACATGAGGCTAGAATTATGCATTCAAATAGTCTATATTACAGGAGGGATATATACATAAGGAATACAAGGAAGGATATACAAGAAAAACAAGGAATAAAGGGAAAACAAGGTTAGTACTGTGCATTCATTTAGCCTATTTCCTGTGTTTTAAAAGTGACAGATTTGATGATACATTCATTAATTTCTCATTGTTCATCTGTCTAAATAACACTAAAACACGACCAAAAATCACCAGTCCTATACTACAATTTTTATCTAGTCTATATAGATCTTTTTCACAACGGCCGGAAGTGAAACGTAAAGGTCACTTGTGTTAATGCTTTTCTATGGCAAAATATCTGTGGAAATGTCTGGCATATTTTCCACCTGTTTCATAAATCTGCCCTATCACCAAATCTTCATCCAACAAGGTCGACAAAAGACATATTTTGTCCATGAAGAAATGTATTCACAACTATCAATGTAAGAAAGATGAAAACGTAAAGGCGAACAATGATGAGCATAAGTGAACTACTCCTGAGCAAAACTAATGTTATGGTCATGAATAAAACATAAGTGACTTGTTAATTCAGACTGATTCTAGAATTAAAATAAAAAATCGATTTCATGATGTAGATATAATCCGAATATCATTCATTCATTCATTTTCAATATAAAACCAAAAATAAGAAAACGAAAAAACAACAGTTTTCTTCATTAAGTGTCTCCAAAACCAAAATGAAAAAATAATAGAAATTATAGAAAAATCTGATTTTCACAAAATCGGACCAGAAAGAGCTGACTTGCTTGTAATTAGAACAGGTGAGATGAAATCACGCTCACAAGCTCTCTCTTCCTTTTGTTGAAAATCAAACAGGACCATGATCACAGACTCCTGGAAATGTGTTGTTTAAATCAAGTTTTTTTTGTATTTTTTCTTGACTTTTTAGACAGTCAAAAAAATATTTGTCTGTGTCTGCTTCTGTGTACATTGTGTCACCATGGTAACTGCTGAATACTCCTCCATAGACATCAGTGGTGGATGAAGTACTCAATTTTGTTATTCAAGTATAAGTACAGGTATAAAGGTAAAAAAGTTACTCAAGTAAAGGTAAAAGTATCACAGGAAAAAAATCTACTTAAGTAAAAGTACTGAAGTACCTGTTTAAAATTTTACTTTAACAGTAAAAAGTAAAGTATATTGCAGAGATTTTTAGAACAATTAAAAGATGAAATGTAGAGATTTTGTTAAACAATTTAGCTTATTTTAAGTGATTTAATTGATTTCTTAATTTTTCTATCCACTTTTGTGTATTTGGTTTGCTCAAAGTGGGGACGTTATAACTCAAATTAAATGTGCTACAAAAGTCTCAGCCATTTTAACAGATCTAACACCATAAATAAAATAACTTTTTACTTTTCAGTCCAGATCCAAAATGTAGTTGAGTTGAAAGTACAGATAAACATTGTCAGATGTAGTGAAGTAAAAGTAACTTGTACTGTAAAACCGTAACTGTAAAAGAAACTTAAGAACTAAGTAACTTAAAAAAAGTACAGATACTTAAGTTTGTACTTACAGTATACTTTCAGTATACTTTTACTTTTTTACTTTGTTACCTTCCACCACTGATAGACAAACATGCAGAACCACGACTCTTACCCAGCACCACCAGTTCGGTAGTATCGGCCGGTATGCCCTCATCGTCTCCAGGAATTTGCACTCGGCACACGAAGCGCCTGTTATCGTCCAGACTGATGGAGTAAAGTCTGAGGTCAGCCTTTCCGGTGGCAGTGTTCACGTCCAGTTTGGCCCGTTTCTCGTATGTACTGGTGTAATCTGTCCTGTCAGGAGATGAGTAATGAGTCAGGATCACCACCTGTGGGAGAAGAATAGACTTGAGTTAGAGTTATTAGTATACTTGCAGTTTTTTTTTTACAGAATAAAAATGTATGATACAAATCACCTTCTTGTTTCTATGCAAATGTCATTGCTCTGCTTGAAATGTTCCATATTATGACATCAAACAGCTCTGCCTTATATTTATTCATTTACAGGTGGTGTAAGAGCTCAAAAATACCTAGAAACGCAGGGATTCTGACTGTGAGCGGGTTTGCCTCTCCACAGATCTGAACTGCAACTTGGCCTGGTTTGGTCTCCATGGTGATAGAAAGGCTTAATGCCATACTGCGACATAGGGGTGGGCGATATCTCGATATTTTTAATATATCGAGATTTTTTAAAAAACTCAATATGAATTCTGACATATTGTATATATCGATATAATGCTTATATTCAATTTTGATTTCGCCGCTTTGCATGTTTGTCTTCTCTGTCGCCGCCCGCGCGCCCCCACCTCCCTGATTTTGTTCGCTCATGTCTCCTTCACTCCTCACTATCGCCGTGAACGCCGAAACTTGCTGCCAGTGAAAAGCTTCTAGCGCCACGAACCTTTTCCACCATTTACAGACAAGTCCATCAGCAACACATCCTTATAATTCCACCGATTCATGTCCTTTAGTCCAAAAGAAGTTGAACCAAGAGCGGAGTGCGCTGTTTATGCAAATTAGCCATGTGCTTTTTAAGTTTTGTTTCTGTAAAATGTAAACAAGTCTGCGCAAAGCTGCAAAAAAAATAACACTATAATCTCAAACGGGCTGATATGGGTCTTGAGTCGTTATGCTATATATCTTGTAAAGTTTAGTAATGTAAATTCTATTTATGCTGAAAATTTTTATTAATAATCTGTTGCAGTGTCACTTGTACAAAAGTGTTTGGAAACGTTGGGTTTGATCTGCAGTGGATTGTGGGAAACGTCATAGCTCCTTACTGCTGGATAGGAACATGGATCTGTTAAAATAAGGAACATCCTGAGCTTCTTCTGTTAAAAGAGTTTTAAGATTATGGTCTGGATAACAGAGTTAATGCAAAGATGAGCTTGTGTTGAGTTGTTTTATTTATGAATGAAACAAAGGAAATATGTTTTATTTCTTTTATTTGACAGTTTAATTATTATTTATGTAATTAGGGTTTTTTGTAATCTTAAATGTTCCTATATGAACTGTCGACCTCTTACACTTTAATTTGTAAGAAAAGGACCTTGTGGAATTTGGCATATTTGTTTTTGCAGTTTTCCATTTTAGGGGGTTATTTTTTCCTGTACAGATATCGAGATATATATAATATATCGAGATATATTTTTTGATCCATATCGCCCAGTCCTACTGCGACACATCTCAAACAAGGCAGTGCAAAGTTACACAATGCACCTTTAAAGTGGTACGTTTTTTGTTGTGTTTTGAAGTGATTGTAAGCGTGAATTCCAGAGGGCGGGGGCAGCAAATGCTCAGTCCCCCAAGGTATAAAGAAAAAGTATCCACAATAAAAATTGTATAAACAAAATGAATTCTTCCATTGCTCATGTATTGAACCACAAGTCGATATAGTAATTATCACAACAGGCATATTCTTAACTCACATCTTCTCCTCCATTGACGCCTTCAGCGGTCCAGGTGATGATGACGAGGGCGGGGCTGGCCTGGTTACTCTTAAAATTGCAGGGGAGGGTGATGTTGTCCCCGCGAGCATACTCATATTTAACCTCAGGGATGACCACGGTGAGGCAGCTGACCCCAGAGATGAGAGCTGAGAAAGAAAGAAGCAAACCAGATCAGAATGGGACAATAGAACAGACTTGATGCCCAATACTGATTCAGAAACCAAAAAATAACAATAAAAATTCCAATAAAACACATTTACAACACAGCGAACCACACAACTAATGTGGTGTTAAAAGCCAGAGAGAAGAAGTGAGTCAAAAAACTATTAAAAGAAAAAAAAAAATCAACTCTAAAATGAATGGAAGCCACTGCAAAAACGCTAAAATCTGATTAATGTGGTCACGTTTTTTAGCTCCATGAGGAAGTAGGTATGTAGCATAGAGCTGCATTAAACAGAAAGTCCTATAACAAGCGTATTTAGACTTATTAGACTTAAAGTAACCAAGTGTGATTACTGAGAAGGGAATGGGAAACAAGCTCAAATTGTAGTAAACCAACCTGACATATTTTAAATGCTTGCTTCACTTCCGCATTTAGGACAACAATAAATCAAATACCAAGAGCTCTCACTCTGTCTGAACGCTTAACACACACATTCTTTCTCTGCACTTCTGCCACCGTGAAACTTTTCTAGAGGATGATTGTCTGTTGTTTTTTATTGCTTTTTTATTGCTTGGATAACCCTGTGTCCTGTCAATCATCATATCATTGTTGCACTGTCTTTCCGTGACCTCTTGTAACTGAGATTTTATATTTTATTACTTATTTTTCTATTTTCTTTTGACTTGTACATTTACATTTATATTATTATGCCTCATTTGACACCAGTCTCTTGCGATCTTTTTTGCTACTTATTTAGAATTTATTACCATTTATATATTTCTTTACTCTTTGTAATTAATAATAATTTCCCTTGTGGATCAATAAAGTTTGTCTACCTAAAATGTTCTAAAATATTCCTTTAAAGTTATATTTACATCGAGACAGGCTATGTTACAGGTCAGATGTACAAGCTCACGAGATTGCATATATTTCATGGTGTTTTTTGTGCAATTAAAAAAAAAACAGTGATTAAATCCTTGTCTGATAGACATGTTCAAATGCCATACTGTGGAACATTCTAGGCAGAGCAATAACATCACCATGGAGACAGGCAAGTGGTGGGCCTTCCATTAGAAAAGTTGAGCAGTGCAGCCTTAACGTTGGCAAAATCTGAACTATTACTACTACTACAACTACTACTATTACTACACCAACTACTGCTACTACAACTACTGTTTCAACTAATACAACTACTATTACAACAACTACTACTACTACTCTACTACTACTACAGCTACTACAACTACAACAACTACTACTACTACTACAACTATTATTACAACAACTACTACTACTACTACTACTACTACTACAATTATGACAACTACTACTTCTATTACTATTACAACTACTACAACAATAACTACTACTACTACTACTACAACTGCTACAACAACTACTACTACTACTACAACTACTACTACAACTACTACAACTACAACTACTATTACAACAACTACTATTGAAACTACTACTACTACTATAACTACTACAACTACATTTACAACAACAACAACAACTACTACAACCACTTCTACTACTATTACTACTACTACTTCTGCTACTACTACTATTTCTACTAGTACTAGTATTATTATTACTACTTCAACTACTACTACAACTACTATTACTACTACTACTACTACTATTAATAATTGCTGTTTATTTAAATTATTTTCAGTGTAACGATTAGGGTGGGAAGATTAATCACAATCAAATCAAAATAGCAAACCATTAGGGATGTAACAATAACCGAAATATTGTGATATCGTATCGTGAAAAGTCTCACAATAATATCGTGAGCTGTCACAATTTATCGAATTACAAAATCCTGTGCTTAAATGCATGGTTTTATAGTAGCAAACATCGGGAACTACATATCCCATGATTCATTTCAGCGCAAACAACATAAATATGTTTTTTACTTGAATTCTTGAGATTATGACGGTAATAACTCACATCAAAATCTTGTCAGAGTATTTTAAAATCTAAAAAGCGTCCCATCTACAATTATTCTTCAAAATATCGCAATAAATATCGTACCGTGAGATGCATATCGTGATAATATCGTACCGAGAGATTTAGATATTGTTACATCCGTACAAAACATTTTATCATAAATTCCTGTTCCTGTTCTGAAAGGTGATTCTTGCATTAGTTGTATCAGTTCACACTTTTTTGTAAATTTTAATCGCTCTGTTTAAAATCTCAGCAAGAATCCTACAATCTGATCAAAAAAAGCTATTATTTTTCTCAAATCAGTCCTACAAAATATTGCATTTTCCTGTCCCGGGTGTCACAGACTTCAACAAAAAAACTACTGTCCCGTTTTGAGCTGCACAGAGTTTGACATTAAACCAGACACCCTTCCTCATACAGAAATCTCTCTCACTGAATCTGAAACAAAATGCACACAGCCTGGATTACAAAATTTCACCTAGAATCTATATATCAGGACAAAATGTGGATAGTAATAATAATAATTAAACTAACTCAAATTGATCTGGAGGTTATTTCAGAGTCTTACGGTAGAATTAGCTGTTTAATTGTCAGATTGCAGACGTTTATCCAGGTTTATGGTTAGTATCTCTGTAATTACTTGACCTGTCCACTTGAACCAAAAACTCTCAGAACGTGTAGTATCTTCTCTGTGAGCTCAAATGAACTGAGGATACGTTATTTTTTGCACAATAGTTTCAGAAAGTATGAAAAATAAGTAAATATATCTATTCATCATTTTTTTCACTATTTTGACTGAAAGGTTTTCATTTTTCATTCCACACTCTTCTCTCCTCTCTCTTTTAATTTTATGGTGATTATTTATGTTTTGATTTCTTTGTATTGTGATTTTAATGTATTTCTTATTCTGTAAAGCACTTTTTCTAATTGTGCTATACAAATAAACTTACCTGGCCTATTTTGAGCACTTCTAGGAATAAAATCACCTATGCCATCTCATTCCTTTATCTTCAATTTCTTAATTTTTCAACTTCAAAAACATGATTGTATTCACTTTAATAAGATTAATATGGTAACTTTTGGTGGAAATCCAGAACAAATAATAACATGGTTCAATATTTTTGGATATTTTTGGTTTCTTTCATCTCAACGTTAATTGAATTTAGGTTTGAAATGAAGATATAAGAGTTTTCACCAGTAAGGCTATATATTATAAAGCTGTTTTTATAATGCATTATAGCAAACAGGGGTGTAACGATATCCAAGTCTCACGATATGATATTGTCACGGTATGAACCTCACGGTAAGATATTTATTGTGATATCGTGGGAAAGCTCACGATATGATGGGGAGGCGCATAATTAGTGATGTAACAATATCCAAATCTCTTGGTACGATAGTTTCATGATACACATCTCATGGTACAGTATTTATTGCGATATTTTGTGGAGACAAACTAAACTGAATATGCTACTTTTTCCTCTTAAAATGCCTTGACAAGACTTAATCCAAAGAACTAAGACTCAAAAGTGCTTAGAAATGTTATTTCTTCTTGCACTGAAACAGAGCAAAAGATCATGGTCTATGTAGTTCCCTCTGTCTTTTTTTGAGCTATTGCTGCACCATAACTCTTAAATTAAGCAGAGACTTGTAATTCAATATATTGTGATCGTCCATGATATTATTGTGAGAACTTTGACGATACGATATCACGATATTTTGGTTATTGTTACATCCCTAATCACAAATAATCATTTGTTGTTAAATCACTAAAACATAATGACCCACTAAACTCTCATAGCCCCACCCAAACCGTTCACAAGGAATGTAGAAGTAGGTTACGCTGTAGTACGTCTGTCATTGACGATGGATTTGCATATTTGTTTAATATTTTACTCTATTTTTTCCTCTAAGTTAAAATTTACTTTTATTTGACATTGGTAATTTTACTTATATAAGCCCAAACCACTGATGAACCTGTAAAAACGAGCAAATAATTACGAGTATCCGCCATAGCTTCGAATTAAATAGTTATTCATTTTGTGAAACGTGAATTTAGATAACATTATATAAGCAGTATGGTATGGAGTACGGCTTGGGCCTGCTTGTTGCGAGGCGCGCAAACAGGTGTGGCACGCACAGGTACTTGGTACGTAAAGGTAGAAATTCAAGATACTCACCCAAACACACGAAAGTTAAAGAAAATATCCAAGTCCCCATCTCTGTTGTGATGTCCAAGGCTATAATCTGTAAAATGCTACAAAAATGTTCTTTATCAGAGTTAGCACGGGCAGCAGCAGCCGCCCGAAACGCTCAGTATTTGCATCGAAACCTGGAGGCGTCCTGTCATTGATGAGCTGGAAAGGTGCGTCCCGAATATCACGTGATTGACGGGCCCTTCAGCCAATCAGGAAGCGCGTTTCTCGAAGCACTGCGCGTCTTGTACGAACCTGCCTTTTCATAGAATATTCCTGGCATTTTTAAGGACACCTCCCGCGTGTAATAGATAAGCATACCCACGCTTTTCTTTTAATGACAACAGCGCAAGATCTGACTAGTCGAGTTTGGGTTAAATAAAGAATGGAAAGCTCGTGTTTTGTTGCGCAATTACAAAAGAAAATGTTAAGAAATGCCACGGGGAATCCTGCACTAGCTGGTTTAACAATTAGCCCTGTATGGTAACAGACAAGTCAAAGCGCAGCGTCGTGAGTAAACATTTTACCATGGGGGTGGTGAGGTTAAGACAGTATAAGTTTAAACAGAGAAAGAGAAGAGACTCGTCAAACCGGTTGAATGAGTCTAATGACCGGAGGCTGACGCATGCGTAAAAGGAAAGAGGATCGGGTAAACACTGGGAACAAAGGATATGTTTTAAGCCAAAGTTATCAAAGTCATTGGCACATTGTTTTGAAACATCCGGGGAACACTGTGAGAGTTTATGAGGGTTAATTGTCCAATGCGCTGTAAAAGTAGACTCTTTGTCGTCCTCTAGTGGTCAGAACAAAGACCTACACTAAACAGCATAGGTGGGACCAAGTCATCGTTTTGCAAGTCTCAAGTCTTTGATCTCAAGTCCGAGTCAAGTCCCCAGTCAAATACAAGCAAATCCAAGTCCGATCTCGAGTCACTGGCCCATAAGTCCAAGTGAAGTCCAAGTCGTCTGCTTTGAGCTTCAAGTCATTTCAAGTCTTTAAACCAAAGTACCAAATATAGGTTAGATTTTTGCAATTTATATGACTTTTAAGATAAATTGTACTATTGTAAGTCATAGTATATTTATATATGAGTATTTATAGCCTATATACGATTTGTAGAAATGCAAATGTTTCCTTTTTAAATGTCTTGACAAGATCTTAGAGTGAATCATTGCAGTCAGAATAGAACAAATTCAGATTTAAAAGTGCTTCTCAAGTCACACTCCGAGTCAAGTCCCAAATCACTGACCTTCAAGTTCAAGTCAAGTCCCAAGTCCATTTTATCAAGTCAAGTCTCAAGTCCCAAAAATAGTGACTCAAGTTTGACTCGAGTCCAAGTCTTGACTTGCAAGTCCCCACCTCTGGTTAAGGTATACACTTTATTAAGTTATTGTGAGGGAAATTTATTCTCTGTAATTGGCCCATCCTTACATATACGTATGTAGTTATAGTCCTGCATTACATTCATGCATTTATATAATTATGTCTTATTTTATTTTGACGTGTGGATTTACATTTATATAATTGTCTTATTTGAGACCTGTCTCTTGCTCTTTTTTACTACTTATTTAGAATTTATTATTACCATTTATATTTTTGCTTTTTGTTATTATATTATATTGTGATGTGTGAGCCACTGTGCCCCAATAATTTCCCTTGTGGATCCATAAAGTTTGTCTAAGTCTAAGTCTAACTAAATTCAGATCCAAGTAATATCTGGATCCCTAAAGGTTTAAATTTATTATTAGGGCAATGGTGGAAGAAGTACTCAGTTTGGTTGCTTAAGTAAAATAGATATTGGAGCAAATAAATAAATAAATAAATACAATAAATAAATTAATAATTAATAAAAATACTCAAGTAAAAGTAAGCGTATCAAATGAAAAAACTCTACTGAAGTAAAAGTATCAAGGTTCCTATTTAAAAATGTACCTAAAGACTAAAAAGTATTTTGTGCAGATTTTGAGGCCTACATGCTTCTTTTTTATTTTGATAAAGAACAACTGAATCAATTGTTTTGTTTCTAGCTGTTCTTATTTGTATATTTTGTGTTGTTTTTTTTTTCAAATTACGAATGTGTTAAAAATAAACCCTCAGACTTTTAAACAGATCTCAGACTATATAATAAAATATTTTTACCTTTCAGTCCTGTTCAAAAATCTAGTGGAATAGAAAGTGTAGAAACCTGCTCTCAAATGTAGTGAAGTAAAAGTAAAAAATATCAGCTTTAATGTACTTAAGTCAATTAAAGATACCTAAAATGTACGCTTAAGCATAGTACAGTCCCTGACAAAAGTCTTGTCGCTTATCCATTTTGTAGAAACAAAAGCTTATAACCTGACTTTAAATTAATCGATTGGTTTTAGAAATGTCTCATATGAAAGCTAAAACCCTCCCAAATTATGCTCAATAAACTAAAATAAATTTGCTTCACTGAAGAAAGATTGATCATTTAATGAACACAGAAAGGTCAGATTTTGGCAAGACAAAAGTTTTGTCGCCTACAGAAAATTGAACAAATAATTTACTTCAAAATACAAAAAATATGTTGCATAACTTCAGTGAATTAAGTAGTGGTGCTGTGAGATCCATATTTAATATCTTGAATGACTTCCATGAGCTTGAAGGACGCATCCATGTGGTTCCACAATGATTCATACAATTTGTTGATGAAGTCATCAGGAATAGCAAAGAAAGCGTCTTACATGCCTCCCAGAGTTCATCAAGATTCTTTGGTTTTGCCTTCCATGCTTCCTCTTTCATTCTACCCCAGACCTGCTCAATGATGTTCATGTCTGGTGACTGGGCTGGCCAGTCCTGAAGCACCTTGATCTTCTTCGCCTTGAGAAACTTTGATGTAGAGATAGAAGTATGCGATGGAGCACCATCCTGCTGCAAAATTTGACCCCTTTTTATGGTTGGGAATGTAAGAGGAGCTAATACTTCTTGATATTTTAGGATATTGATATTGCCTTCCACCCTGCAAATGTCTCGCACACCCCCATACTGGATGTAACCCCAGACCATGATTTTTCCTCCACCAAACTTAACTGTTTTCTGGGTGAATCTTGGATCCATGTGGCTCCAGTAGGTCTCCTGCAATATTTGCGGTGGCTGTGATCTAATTCAACCGAGGATTCATCTGAGAAATCCACCTTCTGCCACTTTTCCAGTGTCCATCCTTTTAGCAGGCTGTGGGCCTTGGCAAATGCCACACGGTTTTTTAATTGCCTTTTGTTTAGTGCTGGTTTCTGTGCACTGGTTCGACCATGGAGGCCATTTCGAGACAGAATTCTACAACTGTTGTGGTTGACACAGGGACTTGAGGTGACCAGGCCTGGTGGAGCTCTGCTGCAGTGGAAAAGGGGCTGGCCTTGGATTTTCGAACCAACAAACGGTCCTCCCGAGCAGTTGTCTTGCGGGGTCTGGCGGACCTGGGCTTCTCAAAAACATCTCCAGTCATTTCAGATCTTTTTCTTATTCTTTGTACTTGACGCTGAGACACATTGAAGGTGTCAGCCACCTCAGCAGTGGATCTGGTCTTCAGCCTCTTGATAATTAAAGCTTTGGTCTCAGGGTGGATCTTAGGCATGTTGTCAGAGGTCAAGTTGCAGTTGATGTGAAGGTCTGGTGTGCTGGGGTTCTTTTTATACACATCCACTAACTGATTGTTAGTAACTGATCACAGGTGAGGCTGTAATCTAGGATTGGGTGCATCATATGACAAGGCGACAAGACTTTTGTCTTGCCAAAATCTGACCTTTCTGTGTTCATTAAAAGATCAATCTTTCTTCAGTGAAGCAAATTTATTTTAGTATATTGAGCATAATTTGAGCATAATTTGGAGGGTTTTATCTTTCATATGAGACATTTCTAAAACCAATCGATTAATTTAAAGTCAGGTTATAAGCTTTTGTTTCTACAAAATGGTTAAGCGACAAGACTTTTGTCAGGGACTGTACTACTTTTACTTTATTACCTTTCACCACCGTTTTAGGGTAAAAAAATCTGGGGCATTTTAACAGCTTTTATTCAGGCCAAGATAATCCAAATGTGTGGCAATTTTGTATAATAATTAAATAATAAAAATGTTGGACTTTAACGGTCCTATATCTTGCAAAATGTTTGAAATGAAGTTTAAGACATCTGACATAATTAACCAAATGCTTTTCTGTGTTTTAATCCAATATCCTGTGATACCGATAGAAAACCAAAAACATTTACCCTAATAACCCACATAGTTGTCAAGCTTTTTTTTTTTTATTGCCAAAAATCTGTTCACATCAACAGTGTCCTGAGACTGGGCCTTCACACAATTTATATATTTACTTTTTCTTTTTTTTCCCCCTTCCCATTTTCGAGACGAAAAAAAAAAAGGTAAAAATGAATAAAAAATGTATAAATAAATAATAAATAAAGGCATGTTAGGGCATAAGTGTCTTATTTGAAAAAGTCAATAATTGGACCGCACCTCTTTTCAAAAGTTGGCACCTTTAGCTGTAGTTGAGTTGTTAACAGTTCCATTGTGTAAACTTGTCTGATTTTTGATTTCCACTGATCAATGGTCGGTGTTTCAGGTTTCAGGCAGTAGATCGTGATCATTTTTCTTGCAGTCATCAGAAGAAGATGCAACAGAAAGCACTGATCATGAGAGAGACCATCAGGAAATGTATCAAGCAAAAATATCTATGGGTCCAACAACAGGTCCACAGCCATTATGTTTTGTAGAACATCTTTAAAATCAATTCAGAAACACTGTATTGGGGCAGTCTCAAAATATGTGAGTCTGGTCACCCACAAGTCCACAGTTCCTCCAACATTTGTCAGTAAGACTACATTTCGAAATAAAAGTTTTCAGCGGGGTTCTATAGAATTTTAACTTGACCTTCCAGTTCACATTCCTTCTAAATTATCAACCATTTTAACAGGAGTTTAATTCAATTTATGAACTTTTAAAAAACCTTATATAGACAGTGACCTTCAAAAAAGTCAGTACCACACATAATTGTAGCTTCATCAGGGCTCCCGGCTGATCTGGTCTTTGGGTAATCTCTGTCTGACTAAAGGTTAATTAACCAAGGTCAATTAATTTATTTGTTAAAAAGTCTTTATTCAGACCAGAATAGATTTTTTTTATATGCCTGACCATATCAGGA